GTAAAAAACTAGTGACGATCGCACCTTCAACATACAAAAGTTCTGATATCAACATTTGTGACGAAAAATTATTACACTCGTCATTAAATAGACTTCCTAATATTTTCTCATTCGGCCCGCCCTAGCAAACTATTCCAGCCTTATTCCCTTTACAGGCATTTTCTATTGCAGCGTGCCGAATGCGGCTATATAATAGTAGTCGCCTTCGCACACTCTCCTGGTGCGCTTCGTCACTACATGGACTGCCGTCCATAGTGATTCCTAAATATTTTGAAAGCAGTTTTATATATTTCGCTTAGGCAAACAGATCCAAAATTAATTAAAAATTGTTTATTCGTTGATGTCTAAGGATTTTTGTATTTTTATCTTGAATATTACATTAAACCAATTTTCTGAAAGTTACTGAAAGTAAAATAGCAAATAATTAAAGTTAGACTCGGATGCATTTCTCAATTGTATAAACATCATATTAAGTACCTAATATTCCTTACAAAATAAAACCTTTACATTTTCTCTTACTTTTCAATTGGTTTCGACTCTAACTGCCTTAAATTATATTTTATTAGTTTTCTTTTAACAACATCTGTCTCGATGTGGGTTCGCTGGTATTTTCAAATAGCTGGTAATATTGTCAAAGCGAACTGCAAATCACAGGTCTGACAAACGTGTTTCAGTTGTAAACGACAAAAGCGGAGGGGCACACAAAAGCAACAAATGCGAGAAATGAAATTAGTGAGTATTATTTTTAAGAGTGGGCCGGCGACAAGTCAACGGAAACGTGTGGGTGGCGGCTGACTGTCGTCTCTGGTTTTGGCTGTTTTTTCAGTGTTTTTTCTGCTTTCGTTGTTTTTGCCTTTGTTTGCCAAGCTGCCTGTGCTGGGCAAATTACTTTTTAATTGAACACACACGTGGGCAGCTGCTCGGCCAAGTACCGACACTCGAACAATTAACCAAATCGCAGACAAAGTAACCAATAACTGACAGTCATGGCTGCAACTTGTTTCTTTTGTTGACTGGCTGTGATGAGGGCAATATGTAAAACAAAATAAAATAAGATAAAATAAAATATGTGTATATCCGAGGGAAGAACAGTGGGCTAATCCGATCCGATTCGAGGCGATTTTCCCCTGGGGCAAGGTAAACAAACCATTCGACCATTCGGAGTTTAAGCCATTTAAGCCGGGTTTTGTTCGCCTGCATTTTTATTTTATTTACCAAATCTTGCACTTTATGGGCCCCTTGGCCTGCGTCTCTGAGCCTGAACATGAATGAACTTGGACCAGGCTGTGTTTAATTTAAATTAAATTGGATTTTCTGTTGCCTTTGCTCTGGCCCAAAACTGTTTTAAAATTCGAGTGTGCCTGGCTTCTCTTTTTTCTGTTTTGTATACCATTTGCATATGAATATGGCCGACGGCAGCCGCTGCGAACAACTAAAAGCAATTTGAGATCGAAATTTATGGACATGGTTTGGGCTCTGGTCCGAACCGCTCCTGCAGCCCATTTCACTTGCCTCTGGGTCATTTATTTAATGCTTATAAAGGCATTTAAATATTCTTAACGTGAAACGATCGTGAAAACATCATAATATCAGACAGGACAGGAAAAAATCATTAAGTGTTAATATATATTTCTTAAAAGTAAAGCACCTCATTGATATTTCATACCATTATTGGGTACAAATCCCATTTAATTTATTTAATGGTAAACCATTTCATGTCTCTACAATAAAATTGGTTGTTTATTATGCTTGAAATGTTCCACAGAATTGCTATTTTAAAAATTAATTTGATAGAATGGAATATTTTAGAGAAACAAAACAAAAAATAATTTATTTTCAATATCGGTAGCCCCGCCCAGAGATAAAAACACACAAAAAAAAACCTGGTGTTCTTTAATATCCCTCCTTTAACCTCCTTGAACACTTTTACAACCGAGCGAACAATAAACCTAAAAACCAAGTTCACCGCCCACGCAAAGCGCCAGAAAGCCAGTTGAGACACGAGGAGGCCGCCAACGCATGTGCATAATGCTAAATCGACTGTTAATTGCGACATTTCGAAAGCCAAAACAGACACAGAAAGCCAATAAAATGGAAATCGCTGCTGGCGATCGGAAATCAACGAAAAATTTGAAGGAAAATATTGAACGGAGAAGAAGAAAGCCGCCGTGGCAGGGAAATGGCTTTCAGAAAAGTAAACTAAACTAAACATACACTCAAAAAAAAAACAGCCCGAAATCGCCATTAAATCAAGAAAATCGCCATGAATTTCAGTCGATGGCGATTTACCGTATTTTTAGAAAGGAATTTTCTAAAATTTAGAAAAAATTTCTGAAAAGCAGAAATACTTTTCTAAAATCAAGAAAAATTGCCATAAAATTGCGAAAAATTTCCTTAAATCCAGAAAGTACTTTTCTTGAAAATAGAATTTTTTTCTTAAAATAAGAAAGGACTTTTTTTATTTTCAGAAAATTTTATTTATTTTAATAAAATGTATACATATTTATTTTACTATTTTATTTCCTAAACAAGAAAGAGAAAAGAAAATAAAAAGGATGAAAAGAAAATTATTAATATTTCCTAAACAAAAAGGAAAACAAAACAAAAAAGATAAAAAATAAGATAATAAATATTTCCTAAAGAAAAAAGAAAAGAAAACAAAAAAGATAAAAATTACATTATAAATATTTCCTAAACAAAAAAGAAAAAAGAAAAGAAAACAAAAAGATAAAAATTATTAATATTAATATTAAGTAGGTATTTAATATATTACCTATTATTAAAATTTACTTACTGCCAAATTATCAACAATACCTGAAATTGAAATTATTCCTGCAATCGAAAATAAAAATTAATATTAGAGAAGGATAGTATTTGCGGCCTGCAATAGTATGGCCTTTGCTTACCATAAATTTTCACACACTTACCAAATTTATATTTAAATTTATTTAAATTGCTTACCTATTAATTGCCTCTTAGAGGGATCGCACTTTAACTTTCTTAAATGGGCTCAACACAAACTTATTACTTTGAATGCTCATCCAAAACTGAGCACAAGGGTTCAAAATGCAGCGCAACGCAAGCAACTCTCTCGCGAGAGACTGCATTTCCAAAACAACAACGCAATAAAGTTACAGCTACGCACAAGAAAATTCTCGATCATACGCACAAACACACATAAACATATACATACATACGCCAAAACTGTCGTCGCAACGCGCCGCGGACTAACCCCTTGTCTTCTTCTTTTTCGTTTCGAAGAAAGAGTGAGAAGCATAAAAGAAATACAAAAAGTTTTTCTTAAATCTATGGTGATTTTCTAATTATACTTTTTTGTTTTCAAGAAAACATTTGTTTTAATTCAGAAAAATTCTTAAAATTTAGAAAAATTTACCGTATTTTTTATGGCGACTTTCTAGATTATAGGAAGGGCTGAAGTACATTTTTCTTAATTTAATGGCGAAATCGCCATTAATTTAAGAAAACTTTTGGAGAGCAAACTAGGAAAAAACACCATTGATTTAAGAAAAAAATCATTTTTCTAAATTTTAGAAAGGTTTTTCATAAAATTCTGTTTTTATGGTCTTTTTCCTAGATTCAAGAAAACAATTTCTAAAATTCAGAAAATTTTCTAAAATTAAGAAAAAATTTCATTTTATGGCGATTTTCTAAAATTTAGGAAAACAAATTTTTGAGTGTACATATTATGCGACATCGCTGGGCAGATAGATAGATACCAGCGAGATCTTGGTCTAGCCCACACCAAGAGCTGCCCACACACGAATGCAAATGCCAGACAGAAAAAGACCAAAGTTGTGTGGCAAGAAATTGCTCGGATGCTGCGGAGGAGTATGCTAAGTGAATGGCTGTATAAGTTATGCATGCACTGCTAGAAAATAGTAGAGTCCTAACAGCCATTCTTAGTCAGCCAGTCGGCGGAGCATCATCTTTTTACTTCTTTTTTATTTCTTTGGTGACTGTGGGTCCAACAAAACATTAGCTCATTGGATCGTCAGATGACAGCGACACACTTTGAGCGCACAAAAAGTAAGTGGGCAGCATAGCATTCAGCTGTTGTTGCGCTCCCATTGCCAAATTTGGCAACTGGTTGTGGAGCAACTGCGGCAAGTAAGTAGCACAAATGTCTCTTATTTTATCTCTTTTCTTGCCTATATATATATGTATTTTCTTAGTTGTCCCGCATCGAGCGCTCGCCCACGGTTGGCGAAACAAAAGACTTAGGCAACGAACTTGCCGTGTCAAGCCGAGAAGAACAGAAACCCAAATCCGAATCCAAAAGCCAGGCGGCTAATGAGCCGCATGTAAAGCAGTAAAAAATTATATAAACATTAATTATGAGCAATCTCTTTTCTTTTTTTTTTCTTCCTCTCCGCTTTCATTGTTATTGTGGGCGTTCGAAAATGAAATGTAAATAAAAAAGTCTTTTTCCATTTTTCGTATTCCATTGTCGCCGTAAGTTGAACCCGAAGATCCACGGCTGCCCGCTGTGAAAACGATGAGTTATATGAAATTAGAAGAGGTTGGAGAAGCAACAACAAAGCGCTAATTGCGCGTAAACCGAGCGGGGAAAACAGTGGAGCCTCCGTGTGTGGGTTTCCTCGATTGTCTCTTCGATGCGAATGCGTGGGCTAGCCAGGTGAATTGGGAAAACATTAGCCCGTGAAATTATACGAAATTTGAGACGAACACACAACGGAAGTGCCATGCGTTAAATGAGTTTTGGGCTGATTGAAATCATTATATGTCTGAATTTTAATACGAGTTTATTATGAGCCCGCGGCTGAGTTAAGTCAGCGATTGGGTTGCCTTCGAACCCTCGGCTATAATTAGATTAAAAGGTGCTAATACTTTGTGAACACGTAGAGAGAGTTTATAAAATGGAAACCCCTTTGATTTCTATCGCATAAACTCGTGGTAGTGGGCGTTTTGTATTCAGAGCGACACTCCAGTTTATTTGCCAGCAAATTAACCTGACTCACCTAAGCTTTGGCCGCATTCTGATGGGCTGTGAGGTCCTCTTTATCAGCGTGCGAAACTTAAACAGAGAAGCGATGGTGCCAGCAGCGTTCATAGAACAATAAACCGCATTAACCTGGCCGGCCCCGATGTTTGGTTTCCGTTTTCTACCTGACGGCTGTCGGGTCTTGCCTTCTGCTCCAGAACGTTTGTGTTTAAAATGCGATAAAGATCTTTACGGTGCACTGACGACAATGCGATCGGTGGGCCGTCAGTTGACACCGCTGGAGTTCGGGCTCAAACTGGACCTGTGGCTCACACACTCGCTCACTCGCGCACACACGAAATTAAAATTTCATTCATGAAAAGCAACTGCAGGGTAACAATCAACAGAAAGAACCGGAAACGGATGCGATGTTTGCCTTGCCCCCCGCCAGGATTCCCAGAGTTTCGAGGGTATACAGGGAATAGGGATGATGATGATGATGATCAGGTACCGACTGAGTGACCGACGACAAGAACAACCACTCCGGGTATTTGGTCAAATTTGCATTTTCACAGAGGCGAGACGAGTTGCAGCAGCTACAGAACCTTGTGTATTTCTTGTTTTAGCGCAATCAACTGCCACGAACCGAACCCGACGACGTCTGAAACTCGACTGAGCGGCCTACGCTCAGGTAAGGCAGGTCGAGCCGCCAACAGAATGATTTCATATGCGTTTGTTTGCCTCTCCGCCTCTCGTTTTCGTTTCGTTTCGTCTGGGTGTTTGCCTTTGCAGTCGGTTCATTCACAAATACTGGTCCGATGAATGGACGACCGACGACTGACGCCTCCGCCTCTGCATCTCTATATCCGAACTGTGTGGGCAGGCAGGCAACGTCGAATTGAACATGGCTCGATTCTCTTTTTCGGCTCGCCAAAGATCGCATACCGCTGGCTTCTGCTGGCCTAACCCAAATACGAGCCACTAAGCGAGCTGGAAAATAAATCAAACGCTGCGGAAAAAAGTTCTCACACTCGACATGGCAGCATGGCAGCATCTGCTTGGTTGGCCAACGCTGGCCGTGGGCTATTTGATTTTCACATTGAGTGTGCCGCAAAACAATTTTCTTGTTTATCCATTTATTTCCCCATGCGGACATGCGGACTGGGAGTAGCGCAAATGCACAAATATGGACAGTGGAAAACGGGTTACAATGATTAGCACGCCGCACACACTTCGGCGTCTGGAGAATCTGAGTGGAAACGGGCCGCGTTAACTTAATTAATTTGTGCTATTATCCAGGGCTTCGGTCTTGATGGGCACCAGTGAGGGCGGGATGTTCAGCGTCTGCATTGATTAGAGGAAAACCAATTAGCCACCTTTGTTGATGAGTCTGCAGTCTGGCGACTTACCTTTCCCGGACAGGCAGCCTCGTACTGGTGCTTGAGGCTCTCCATCTCATAGACGCAGGTGGACAGGGCTGTGCGAAGCTCGCAGAGCAGTACCATATCGGAACGCAGTTCGTTGAAGGAGATGCATATGTCCTCCGTGGGCGGCGGAGCGGGATCTACAAAGAACAAGCCAATTAGCGCCTAGCAGGTGAATGTATTAACGGCTACACTCACCAACTTTGAACTCCTGAATGGCCTGTTCGAGGGCCTTCACCTTGCGCTGGCCAATGTTCGCCGGCAGCTTCATTTTCTGCGAGCGCAGCGAAACCCCGGAGCCGCGCAGGTCGGCGAACTTGATGCCGCTGCTGCCGATCTCGATGGCATTTACCACCGAGTCCACCTTGGAGGGCCGCGGCTGAGGGTGAACCTTCTTCTTGTGCAGTTTCTTTTCGTATTTGCGCGTGTTGGGCGTATTTGATGCATTATCGTTCTGCTGATCGGCCTGTGAGATGAGCTTCTGCAGGTCCTGCGTCTTGCGCTCGCGCTCCTTCTTCCGCGCCTCGATCTTCTTCATCTCGTTGATCAGCATTTGCTCCTCCTCCACCTGCTGGGTGGTGCGTTTGAATAGCTTCTCCAGCTGCTCCTTGCGCCGCCTCTCGTGCTCGGCATCGTAGGAAAACACTTTCTTCTCACCGGTCTGATTCTTGGCCTTGGCGAGCAGGGCCACCACCTCGTAGTAGCGCTCCTTGAGCTCCTCCACGGTCTTGGCGCCATGCTGTTGACGGTTCCAGCGATCCGCCATCACAATGAAGCGCAGGTCGAATCTGTAAATTATATTAAATGAGATTTGGACCGATAAATAAGGGAGGAGCAGCCTACCTCCTGGCCAGATCGAAAAGATGATCGGTCTGCACCTTGCTCCAGTTGTTAATGTTGTTCCTCAGATGGGCATTGTACTCGGTCATCGTGTAGGAGGGCACCTCCAGCTGTTTGTTGAACTTGGCGAAGGGATAGTCGGTGGAATTGTCGGTGACCCGTTTCCAGTGATGGAAGACGGCTGAATCGTTGCGCGCCGGATTCGAGAAGGGAGCCCACTCCCACTTGCGCACCTTCTTCATCCCGAGACGAGCCTTCGTCTGCTTGTAACCGGCTCCGATTCCCAGGGCCGTATCCGTGGGCAGGAGCGGCGGAGCATCCTTCTTGTCTGTGTACAGCAGGGCGAACACCTCACGGTGCATTCCCTCCGGACGACGGGATGCCGTCTTGGTCCTAACATTAATAAAATTAAATACTTAATGAAGCACTACCATGTAAATGCAATTGTTTACCGCTCAAAGTTGCGCTTCTTGGTGGCCAGAAAGGAATCCCTCGTCACTTCGGGCGTGTTGGCACGCTCCATGTCCAGAATATCGCGCACATCGGCCGACATGATTTAATACTTCTAGTTGTTAACAAAGGTTAATTAAAAGATATTGCAAAAATTGTTTATTTTGATGGTTTCTCGCTAATTTTTGTAAAAAACATTAATGAGACCACAAAGATCAAGCTGGAAAATACCTACTATGCATGAATAAAATATACCAACAAACAAGCAGAATAAATACTAGATCTGGTATATTCTAGGGCTACTGCATAATAGATAAAACGGCGGAAAATTATCCTAAGCATGTATCGATAGTCGAAATATCGAAACTTATTAGCATATTTTAAAAAAACCATCAATTCGGTGGAATTCTTTATAATTGTTCCGCCATTTTTGATTTTTATGTATCCACGATAGCTGTAAGCAGTGTTTCGGTTGCGGGGGCAACTTCTACCATTGATATGTATCATGAGCGTTCTTCAAAACAAACTTGATCACTGATTACTGATCACCACCATTAGGCCTGAAGGCTTAGGTAATTTTGGCCCGAAAATTAATATTATGAGTCCTAATTTGCGTTGAATTTCGACCGTATTTGTATCGGCTCTGTTCCAAGAATCGGTGTCACAACCAAACCCTTTAAAAGAGTATTATTTGTCCATGTCGATAAAGTGCATTAACACCAGTCAAATTGTTCATGAAAATATATAAAAATGTCAGTAGGCCTTTTAAAACAAATGTCTCAAATAACTGTTATTTACGATCCTCGTTTTTAAATACTTAACAATTTTAACAGTTTTTGTAATACTCCTCCCCTATACAATACAAATGAAATACACATTTCTTTAATTTTATTGTCATATGAAATGCTTTTCATGTAAAATGTACATATATCATATTACTTTTCACTAGTACAACACATTTCAATATAGGTTGTGTCACGATTAGTATGAATTAAAAACAGAGAATTATTAGAACAAAGTCTTAAAAGTTCTTTAACTTTGTATATGTTGAAATTTATGAAATTTGCCATTGCTTCGAAGTCGCTGTCCACAATGTATGACGCAGTGTGATCGAAGTAATTTCCTTTTTTCAGTAGTGTCTTAACATAAATGACATATTCGTCTTCCGAGTGATTAATCCAAACATCCAAAATGCCTTTTATTGTTTCGTAGCTCAAAATTGCCTTAATGTAATTCGGTGCCAAGAAGCGATAGCTTACAATGAAATAATCAACATCTTTATTATAGTAGATATTTTGTAAGCTGGCCGGTTTTGAAAAATCAGACGTCTTTTGAAAATTAGCTGTATGTATATTGTCACCAGGACAACATTCTCCATCAAATTGTTTCAAGGTCTTAATGTTGCAGTACTGAGAATTCACACTATCCAATGCAAATAGTAAATGAATTAAAGTACATAAAGCTGACCAGATATATTTGTTCATTTTTGATTATCAATAGATATTTTATTGATTTATTTTTTTGCGTGTCGAATTGAGGGCTGCGGATAAGTAAACACGTTATAAGAATTTACACGGCCGTATGTATGTGTTATTTGCGATTTATGGTCTTGCTGCGTTCCTTAGAACACGTCTTGTCACTTCAAATTATACAGCAAAAGGAGAGAGCTGAACCAGCTCATCGGATAATAAAACGATAATAGTGTTACCAGTTATGGTAGTGAGCAGAAAATGAAGTAATGTCATTTTCAAACACAAGTTAAGTTTCTTTTTTTCTTATGTGGTCTTCCCACAGAGCTCCATCCACCATCCGTTGAATGGATGGCCCGTAAGGTTTTGCCGTTCCGCCAAACTGTTGGGATTTCTGACAAATGTGAAACTCGTGTTCCCTCAGTTCCGCTCATAACAAACTACGTATAATTCAACGATAGCCAAAAAACAATAAGCTTAAGCATTATTTAATTTTTTCCCGAAATCGATTTGATTTGATATCGTAATCAACGTTCAATTTTTCACAGTCAAGAGGAAGAATTCAGAGTTGCACCGAAGAAATCGCCTAACTATCGCATAAAAGACCCCGTCAAAGTCCGTCAAAATTGGATGGCGGACTAACTAATTTTCTTCTGTGGGAAGACTCGCCATCCAGTTTTGACGTACTTTGACGGGCTCTTTTGTACGATCGTTTGGCGAACATTTCAGCAATTCAACAGTATAATTTACAAAAAATCAATTCGGTGGATATCTTTATAATTGATCAGCCATTTTCGAGCAGTGCTGCAGTTTCAGAACGTGATCAATGCATCGAATGTTTTCAAGCGAGATAACAGAGGTGTGAGTAGGCTTAAGGCATTTTTCCACTATGCGGTTTTTTCGGTATTTTTGTGTATTTTCGATTGGCAACGCGATAGGCGGACGTGAGGTGTTTCCATTGGCAAACGCGTCTGAAAACAGCTGTTCTGCTATTGTCATTTGCGAGCTGAAGTAAACAATGGATTTAAATAATTTGTTATTGATAATTGTAATCGCAGAACAACATTTGAACAGCGTGGAAACATTGCTGCAATGATGAAAGCAACAACATCCCACGTTACCACGGACATTGTGCGCAAGAAAGAGGGAGATGTGCCCCTTTCCAGCAGTCGCCTGTCAACGTGTGTCTTTTTAATATGGAATGGCCATCTACGGTCTAACCAGGAGGTCGCCTTAATGGACGAATGGCGCACGCGAAGCAAACGTCAAGATCATGGAGACGGGGAAGCCCATGTGGCAGCGCTGCAAGGACCAATATTTCGCTTCCGATCCTTTCTAGCCGAGCCATTCCATTGGATAAACGAACTGCTACTGCCCTTAATGCGCTTGGATCATCCTCGGAATACTGAACTATTGCCAGATCATTTGGCATATATGATATATCAAATACCAATCTATACGAAATAAAGTTCATGTAAATATCAACAATAAATGGTTTTAATATTTCCCGCTTCTTATCAGCCTCTTATCAGTTTCGGGTCCAGAAAAATGTTCATGCCTGGTTAATACTGCTTAAAAATACCACAAATTTCACTTTCCAGCCCTGTAACGCGACAATTTTCCACCCTCCCCTCCTCACCCCTCGCCTACAAGTTTTGTATGGGACTTGGGCGCGTTAAGCGGTAAATGGATGCAAACGCGACGCGTCCATAATGAGCAGGGGGCATTAAACCGTTACGATATATGGATATTCAGTATTTTTTAAGTTCTTACGCGGTCACACTGTGCAGGCCAGAAATATTCAACGTGCTCAAATCAAACCAAACAACGAGGATTCGGACTCTCCGAAATTATGTTGTTTTTCTGCCCGTCGTGCGGCAACATATTGATAATCGAGGAGGACACCAATTGCCATCGCTTCACGTGCAACACCTGCCCGTACATATCGAAGATCAGGCGCAAGATCTCCACCAAGACCTTTCCTCGCCTGAAGGTAAGATCGTCGGTCGCTGGATGATGCAATTCGTTATAATATCTCTGTAACTCTGCATTTCCAGGAGGTGGACCACGTTCTGGGCGGCAAGGCGGCCTGGGAGAACGTGGACTCGACGGATGCCGAGTGTCCAACGTGCAGCCACAAGCGGGCGTACTTTATGCAAATCCAGACGCGGTCTGCGGATGAGCCCATGACCACGTTCTACAAGTGCTGCAACCACGAGTGCAACCACACCTGGCGAGACTAATGCGCCGCCTCCACAAGCAACTGCTCCCTCTTGTCCATGCTTACTGCAGGCACACCATCAGGATGCAACACCAAGTGCGCGAGGCGAGGACTCCAGTCTGTCCGGTTGGCGATGAGGCCGCTCTCCAGCTGGCCCGTCAGTGTCTGCTGAGTGGCCAGGTGATTGCCCTGCCCACCGACACCGTTTATGGCCTGGCCTGCGATGCCAACAATGAGCCAGCCATCCAAAGGCTCTACGAGATTAAGGGCCGGGATGAGCACAAACCCGTGGCCATCTGCGTCCACAACATAGCTGCCCTGCGTCGCTTTGGTCAGGCTGCCCATCTCAGCGACGAGCTGCTAACTCGTTTGCTCCCGGGCCCCCTGACCATCGTGATCGAGCGGACGCCCCAGCTGAGCAACCGGTTCCTTAATCCCAGCACCTCCAAGATCGGCATTCGCATTCCGGACTTCAAGTTCATGCGCGACCTGTGCGCCGTTTGGCAGGATCAGCCTCTGGCCCTGACCAGCGCCAATCGCTCCAGTGCGCCCAGCAGCCTGCAAGTGTCCGAGTTTCGCTCCCTTTGGCCGCAATTGGGTGCCGTCTTCGATGCCGGCCAAATCGGGCTCACCGAGGAACGGCGACTGGCCTCCACGGTAATTGACCTGGCCACGCCGGGCTACTTCGAGATTGTACGAGCCGGAGTGGCCCTAAAGCCAACCCTCAGCCTGATGGAGGAGTTCGGCATTCAGGCGAGAAAAATGCTGTAGTATAAGAAGAGCTAACCCAAATAAATTATAATTTTCAGGTTTATCTATGGGTTTATCCTTTCATTTAAATCAAATAAAAACACCTCTTAACGAGGTAAACAACTAGTGACGATCGCACCTTCAACATACAAAAGTTCTGATATCAACATTTGTGACGAAAAATTATTACACTCGTCATTAAAAAGACTTTCTAATATTTTTTTATTCGGCCCGCCCTAGCAGACTATTCCAGCCTTTTTCCCTTCACAGGCATTTTCTATTGCATCGTGCCGAATAAAAAAATATTAGAAAGTCTATTTAATGACGAGTGTAATAATTTTTCGTCACAAATGTTGATATCAGAACTTTTGTATGTTGAAGGTGCGATCGTCACTAGTTGTTTACCTCGTTAAGAGGTGTTTTTATTTGATATCAGAAGTTTTTGTTTGTTTACATTTGCTCTCATAGGAGCTAATATATACATTTAAATTTAAATTGGTCAATCATAATTTGTAAGCCATTGTATTTAAACAAATTAAGTTAAAAAGGCGTTTAAGTATTTCAAAATACCTTTTAAACGAGGTATAGCACATGTCGGTACCTTTAGTAGTGTAGAACTTGCAAACTAACGAAATTTAGCTATTTTTAGCTTTTTCCCGCTAAAGTAGCGGCTTTTTCCAAAAGTCGTAGAACAAAAGATTCCTATATGGAAGTCTTAAGTGCAAATTTACTGATTCCATGACCCTAAAATACAGTTCGGATACCCTCCCACAAAATTCAATACTCAGGGAGCGTTAATTGTTCGAGCTGGCAACAGTGGCTATTTTCGTATAAAAATAACTTTTAAACGTGACTTTTTACAGTAATGTGTTATATACCAAAATTTAAGGAATCTCAAGGGCTACACAGTTTAAGGTTTTAAAGAAAATCGTTAGAGCCGTTTTTGAGAAAAATAAAAAAAGCTAAAAAAAAAAGGTTTAAAAAATTGTCTTTTGTTCATATTTTTTTAACTATTACATTTACACAAATTGCATATAGAAGGCGTTTATAGCATTTCAAAATACCTTTCAAACGAGATGCAGCACAAGTCTGTAGCTTTAGTAGTATAGAAGTTACGGCTTTCCAAATTTTAGCTATTTATAGCTGTTTTCCCGCTAAACTAGCGAGTTTTTCCAAAAGTGGTAGAAGAAAAGTTTTTTATATCGATGTGATGAACGTCATATCAAATTTTCAAAACTTAAAAAATCATTTGATTTTATTTCAAATCATTTGAATTGATTTGATTTGATTTGAATCATGATTTGATTGATTTGATTTTATTTGAATTATGATTTGAAATCAAATGAATCATGATTTGAAATCAAATGATTTGAAATCAAATCAATTCAAATCAAATCAAATCAATGGTTCAATGATTTCAAATCATAATTCAAATCAAATCAATTCAATGATTTCAAATCATGATTCAAATCAAATCAAATTTGATTTTATTTCAAATCATTTGAATTGATTTGATTTGATTTGAATCATGATTTGAAATCAAATGAATCATGATTTGAAATCAAATGATTTGAAATCAAATCAATGATTCAATGATTTCAAATCATAATTCAAATCAAATCAAATTTGATTTCAAATCATGATTCAAATTAATTTCAAATTTCATATCATGATTCAAATAAAATCAAATTCAAATCATGATTCAAATCAATTGAATTTGATTTGAATTGATTTGATTTCAAATCATTTGAATTTGATTTGAATTGATTTGATTTCAAATCATTTGATTTATTTGAATCATGATTCAAATCATTTGATTTTATTTCAAATCATTTGAATTTGATTTGAATCATGATTTGAAATCAAATGAATTAATCAAATCATGATTCATTTGATTTCAAATCATGATTCAAATAAAATCAAATTCAAATCATGATTCAAATCAATTGAATTTGATTTGAATTGATTTGATTTCAAATCATTTGATTGATTCATGATTTTGAATCATGATTTGAAATCATTGAATCATGAATCAAATCAATTCAAATGATTTGAAATAAAATCAAATGATTTGAATCATGATTCAAGTTTGATTCCAAATCATGATTCAAATGAATCATGATTCAAATTTGATTTCAAATCATGATTCAAATCAATTGAATTGATTTGATTTGAATTGATTTGATTTCAAATCATTTGATTGATTTGAATCATGATTCAAATCATTTGATTTTATTTCAATGATTTGAATCATGATTCAAATCAATCAAATGATTTGAAATCAAATCAATTCAAATCAAATCAATTCAATTGATTTGAATCATGATTTGAAATCAAATTTGAATCATGATTCAAATCATTTGATTTTATTTCAAATCATTTGAATTGATTTGATTTGATTTGATTCATGATTCATTGATTTGATTTCAAATCATTTGATTTCAAATCATGATTCATTTGATTTCAAATCATGATTCAAATTAATTGAATTGATTTGAATTTGATTTGAATCACGAGATTCATTTGATTTCAAATCATGATTCAAATAAAATCAAATTCAAATCATGATTCAAATCAATTGATTTTGATTTGAATTGATTTGATTTCAAATCATTTGATTGATTTGAATTGATTTGATTTCAAATCATTTGATTGATTTGAATCATGATTCAAATCATTTGATTTTATTTCAAATCATTTGAATTTGATTTGAATCATGAGATTCATTTGATTTCAAATCATGATTCAAATCAAATCAAATTTGATTTTATTTCAAATCATTTGAATTGATTTGATTTGAATCATGATTTGAAATCAAATGAATCATGATTTGAAATCAAATGATTTGAAATCAAATCAATGATTCAATGATTTCAAATCATAATTCAAATCAAATCAAATTTGATTTCAAATCATGATTCAAATTAATTTCAAATTTCATATCATGATTCAAATAAAATCAAATTCAAATCATGATTCAAATCAATTGAATTTGATTTGAATTGATTTGATTTCAAATCATTTGATTTATTTGAATCATGATTCAAATCATTTGATTTTATTTCAAATCATTTGAATTTGATTTGAATCATGATTTGAAATCAAATGAATCAATCAAATCATGATTCATTTGATTTCAAATCATGATTCAAATAAAATCAAATTCAAATCATGATTCAAATCAATTGAATTTGATTTGAATTGATTTGATTTCAAATCATTTGATTGATTCATTTGAATCAATCAAATCATGAATCATGATTTGAAATCATTGAATCATGAATCAAATCAAATCAAATCAATTCAAATGATTTGAAATAAAATCAAATGATTTGAATCATGATTCAAATTTGATTTCAAATCATGATTCAAATGAATCATGATTCAAATTTGATTTGAATCAATCAAATCATGATTCATTTGATTTCAAATCATGATTCAAATCAAATTCAAATGATTTGAAATAAAATCAAATCAAATCATGATTCAAATCAATCAAATGATTTGAAATCAAATCAATTCAAATCAAATCAATTCAATTGAAATCAATTTGAACTTTTGTATGTTGAAGGTGCGATCGTCACTAGTTTTTTACCTCGTTAGGAGGTGTTTTTATTTGATATCAGAAGTTTTTGTTTGTTTACATTTGCTTTCATAGGAGCTAATATATACATTTAAATTAAAATTGGTCAATCATAATTTGTAAGCCATTGTATTTAAACAAATTAAGTTAAAAAGGCGTTTAAGTATTTCAAAATACCTTTTAAACGAGGTATAGCACATGTCGGTACCTTTAGTAGTGTAGAACTTACAAACTAACGAAATTTAGCTATTTTTAGCTTTTTCCCGCTAAAGTAGCGGCTTTTTCCAAAAGTCGTAGAACAAAAGATTCCTATATGGAACTCTTAAGTGCAAATTTACTGATTCCATGACCCTAAAATACAGTTCGGATACCCTCACACAAAATTCAATACCCAGGAAGCTTTAGTTGTTCGAGCTGGCAAAAGTGGCTATTTTCGTATAAAAATAACGTGACTTTTTACAGTAATGTGTTATATACCAAAATTTAAAGAATCTCAAGGGCTATACAGTTTAAAGTTTTCAAGAAAATCGTTAGAGCCGTTTTTGAGAAAAATAAAAAAACTTAAAAAAAAAAATTTAAAAAAAAATTGTCTTTTGTTCATATCTTTTTAATTATTACATTTACACAAATTGCATATAGAAGGCGTTTATAGCTTTTAAAAATACCTTTCAAACAAGATGCAGCACAAGTCTGTAGCTTTAGTAGTATAGAAGTTACGGTTTTCCGAATTTTAGCTATTTATAGCTGTTTTCCCGCTAAACTAGCGAGTTTTTCCAAAAGTGGTAGAACAAAAGTTTTTTATATCGATGGGATGAACGTCATATTAAATTTTCAAAACTTAAGAAACATGTTTTGGACAAACTGACAAACTGACAAACTGACAAACAGAATTAAATTTTCATTTTGGGAAGAAGAAGAAAATCTTATTTTGGCTATAACTTTTGAACGGAGCGTCGGATTTTGACAAATGACCCCTCATTCGACGGGTATTTTCAAAAGGAATACAACTAAAACATTGCGAGGGGGAATTTATCCCCACCGGCCCCAACAGCTCCAAGTTTCGAAATTTTCATTTTTTCACTTTCACCGCTCTCTCTCCCAAGCCAATTGATTTTCTTAAAGTCTTGGTATGCAATCCTTTAAGTTATTGCAATACCTTTCGATTGGTGTATTACTCATTACGATCGGACTATCACAGCAGATTTTCAATTTTGCGGCTATATAATAGTAGTCGCCTTCGCACACTCTCCTGGTGCGCTTCGTCACTACATGGACTGCCGTCCATAGTGATTATATTTATACAAAAGTGTAACAGTGATTCTACACTAGAGCCCTGCATGAATGGATTCAATGAATAATTTTGACTTTTTTGTTTTATATGAATGAATTAATTAGAATTTTGAGTTTAATAGAATTGAATGAATTTGAATTTTGAGTTTTATAGATTTAAATGAAAGAATGGCATGAATTCCGAAATAATTCAGACGACAATTTCTTTTGAAGAAGAAGAATTAAATCTGCCCGAACTTTATTTACCAAGCAGTTAACATTGATTTGTTAAAAATTTTCCACTTTTTGTTCTCAAAAGAAAGCACAAAAAAAATCTGGCAAATTCATAAAAGTTATTCATTCATTTATTCAACTCGAAATGAATAAGAAAAAAATCTATTTATTTCACACAGAATTGAAATTTAATGATTCTCGCAGGGCTCAATTCTACACCCGTAGCAAGTGAAGCCTTTTACAAAAGGTTTTAAGAATATTAACAGGGGCTCTCTTTACATTTCCATTAAAATGCTATGCTTTCTTTGGCTTTTAACTTTAAGTTTTAATTTAGAACATCCTACCTTTGCCTCGCATGCGGGAACACAACAATTGATTATAAAATATATGGGTATTTCTGTAAGTATGTACACAAATTGGAACTATCTCTCCGCCAGTTGTTGGTCAGTCTAGTTGTAGTAGTTGCTGGTGTTCTTGGAGGCCTGAATGGGCCTCCTTCTGCGTGGCAGCTCGTTCTCCAGCACCCGCCACCGTTCCGGTGGCCAGACAATGGCCACTGCCCGCGCGGACATCAGGCCCAGGGCCACGGGTCCGAAGGTATTGCTGTCCATGGAGTGGCCCGTGTGGTCGCCCTCCACCCAACAATGGCCCTCGGGCACGCGGACGATCTCGTGCTTGTAGCCCAGCGTGGAGACCACGTCGCCCTGCAGGCCCACCACGCGTTTAATGATCTTCTGGGCGGGATCCTTGGGCGAGATGAGGGAGATTATGTCGCCGCGCTCCACCTGGCTGTTGTGGGTGCCCCAGCGCAGCAGGAACACGTAGTCCTTCTCATCCGGCACCGGGTTGAGAGCGGGCTGCATGGAGATGCCTGCGGTGGCCGGGGGATGAGTTATTTAGACCTGGGACTCCTCCAACCACTTACCATCCACCCTGGCCACATATCCCACGCAGTCCAGGAAAGTGACGCCCAGGGGCAACCCGTACAGTAGGGACTTGCCAAAGAAACGAAATGCCATGAGTCCTGTGGGGCAGCTGCTGCCCTCCGATTGCAACTGGATGGATGGATCAAGGAGCTATCGAGGTGAATACATAACCAGCTTATTTTGCCAAGTTCCTTTCGTGCGCTCCGGCTCGTTTGGCATTCGCAGCGACGCGCCGACACGGTTTTGTTTATGCTCGCTATATACAGGGTGTTTCGGTTGCTTGCGAAGATTACGTTTATTTTTGCAGAATGGGTGAATTTTTGCCAGCTATTGTACTTTAGTTACAGGTGTTTTCATTTGGGGTTTATTGAAATTTTGACAGAAACAGGAATGTGACTGGGCTAGCAGCCCTCCAGCTCGCTCGGAATGGGAATCTCGTTCTGGACGGCGAACTGCAGCAGGGCCTTGTACTTGTTCTTCCAGTTGCCCACCTCGCGGCGCACCTGCTCGTTGTCCTCGTGCATCTGCTCCAGCTCCGTCCACTCGAACGACTTCTTGGTCTCCAGCTCGTCCTTCTGTTCGATCCTCTTGATGCGACAGCTGGCGGCGTATCCGCGATTTTTCAGAGTTCTCCGCCTCTGCTTCATGCGGACAATCTCCTCGCGGTTGAGGCCACGCATCTTGAGCGTCCGGTTGAGATCCCTTACCGAAATGCTAACCAAGTCATCGTCGGTTATGTCCGGAATGGGACACGGCGAAAGTGGGGCCTGAAAATCACACTCCTATCAGGGTTTTCTTTCTTCTTTCAACGAATTGCCAATCTACATACCAGGGAAGACTTTCTCTCGCGTTTTGCGTCCATTGTTTCCGCTTTTCTTTTATTTTCTAGGTGTGTAAAAAAATTTGCTAGATTTTTCCTTTTTGCGTTGTTATTGTGTGTCTTCTTCTTCTCTACCTGCTGGTTACCATTCACAGGGAATTAGTACTGTAAATGGCCATTTGGAGTTGCCAGATGGGCAAGAAACAGTATTCGAAAAAAAGAGCGGGGAATTTAAACTTAATTATTTTAAAATTAAATACATTTGTATACAAAATTTTAAGTAAAATTGGATTTCTCATTTTAATAATTACTTAGCAATACAAAATATACTTTATATTTTATATGATTTTTCAAAATAAACCTAATTAATAGTAATTTAAATATTAGATATACAAAATAAGTAACAAATTAAACTTAAAATTGTTTTTTTTTTATTTAATTTAAATTTGCCATCATTTTCGACAATGATCCGGCATCACTGCCAAAGCTTGCGAAGCTTTCTAACACTAGGCGGTTTCCGAAGAAGAAAAAAATCCGGACGACGCCAAATGTTAGCGGGAAATAATCCTTTTTACCGCTAGTGCCAAGTCCTGATCCTTCGCCATGAACTCGCAGGTGATGTACCACAATGTGCCCACGCCGCCCGGCAACGTTTCCCTGGCGGCCGCCGCTCCCGACGGCGGTTTGCTGTACGCCGGCGTTCGCTGCATCAACTACATATCCGCACCGCCGGCAAACGGCGAACAGCCCCAAGTGGTGACCATGTCGACGCGCATCAACATCCTGGCCCTGGACGTGAGTCCCATGTGGGGCAGTGGGAACGGTGGTCCAACGAAGCCCTTTGCCATCGTTGGCGACGATCTGAGCGTTCAGGTCTGGGACTGCGGACTGGGAGAGGCCGTCATCGGGCACAAGGCCCATCAGCATCAGCACGAGGCGAGGGATGTGCGCGTGGTGCACCACACCACCAACTCGGTGCTGATGAGCTACCTGGCCAACGGCAACATACTCTCGTTGGACGCCAGCGACCTGGTCATCTACTGCGTGGCCTCCAACAGCTACTGTCGCCGCCCCACTTTCATCTCGCCCCGCAACCATCAGCTCACCATGGTGCGCTGCTCCCCCTACAACGCCAACCAGTTCGCCGTGGGCACTGCCATGGGCAATGTGCTGGTCTGCGACCTGCGTAAGATGAACATCGTCTACAAGTTCCACGGCCACAAGGCGCCCGTCTGCGGATTGGCATGGCGGGAGGTGCCTGCTCCCCGGGAGGAGGAGCAGCTCAACGATCTGACTTCGCGGGCCGAACAGTGGCGAAGCCGCAATGGCGACCAGGAGAAGCCCAAGGCGAAGCCGCCACCGCTGTCCAAATCCAGGGCAGCCGAATCGGACGACTTGTTCGACATCTACAACTTTGATCACCTGGAGTGCGAGTTTGGCGCTCCTGTCGCTGCGCGACGCCGATCCTCCGAAGATTGCGGTGGTGGCTTTGTCGGCCTGGAGAAGCCAGCCGGTGCTGCTGCCTTGGATTTCGTTGAAGCCTGCGAGAGTATGAAGGCGGATCTGTTGGCCACCCGTCAGGAGGCGGAAAACATCCAGCACGTGGAGGTCACTCTGAATGACTGCGAGCCCACGAAGCCCAAGGGACCGTTGAGTGATGCCAGCACGAGTAGCAACAAGCACGATGCCAGCGATTCCACCGAAGGCAGTCTGGAGGTCATTCAGTACAGCTCGTCCAGCGACGATGCCGTGATCGTCGATGGCGAGGCAGCCAAGCCAAAGAGAGAAGTCCTGCATCACATCTACCACCAGGCTGAGGTGCATGCGTCGGGGAATCCGCAGGCCAAGTCGGAGCCCCAGAGCAATCTTCAAACGGTGCCAGCCGTCAGCACGGAGACCATCAGCTCGACCTCGGCAAATAACACTCGCTTGGACAGCTTGCTAGTTTCGATTGACGGCGATGAGGTGATGATGATTTGGAATGCCAATACAGGAGCACACGCTGGCAAGAACTACAGCAGGAGCAAGGCGGCAGGTGAGTAGTCAGCAAGTAAACATAATTAACCAGGGTTCGGAAAATAACACACTCTGTAAAAAACTTGTGTTATTAACATGTTAAATATCAAAGTGTTAAATTCAAAAAAAGTTATTGACATGTGTGTAAAAAATTGTAGCTTACATATGCTAGAAACATAAATAACACGCACAGTTTATTTGTGTTTTTTACACAACGTGTTTTTAACACAATGAGTTTTTAACACAATGAGTTTTTAACACAATGAGTTTTTGACATTAAAACGTCAGAAACATATGCTTTAAAACGGCTTAAAATAACAATTTAGATATCCTGGCCCAATATTGATTATTAATTTTCCCTTCGATTCGTTAATGTCCATAAAATTTAATTTTCATTTGTTTTAGAAACACAGTGTGTAAAAAACAAGTCGTGTTAATAACACATTGTGTAAAAAACACAAGTGAGCTTTGTTTTTGACACACATGTCATAAACTTTGCTCACACTGTAAAATACAATTTAGCATGTTTTTAATATGTGTGTTAAATTTCCAACCCTGTAATTAACAATCATTTAACTTTGTTTCTTTTCAGGCAAGCTAAACAACGTTTACTGGCTGAACGACCAGGTGATTGTTTCCCTGAGTCGCCACCAGTTGTTCTTCTGGTCTCTAGAGTTCGAGCGGAAGATGCTTCGCTACAAGATCAGCAAGGACAAGGCACACAGTTGCCACTTGCAGGACATTGTGTCGTTTTCCTGCGACTCTGAGAAAGAGATGATATGGTTGTGCAGAAACAATCGTCAGATTGGAATGATGAATCCAAGGAAGGGCCAAGTGAGTGCCTTCTACGGCACAGTGGCGTTCGGAGTGCGAGCAATGGCCGAGTGTCCGGATGATATGAACAAGTAAGCTGATATAAAACATGCCAAAACCAAGACTGACTTTCTTCTCGTTTAGAATCGCTTTGGGTTGCTCGGACCGCCGCGTGGCCTTCTTTGATATATCGAAGCTCTCGACCAGCTGCCTGCCCATCGATAGCGTCTATGTGGCCAGTAATGTCTACTCCCTGGCCTGGAGTCCCAACTGCTTGGAGCTGGCCTTTGGCACCTTCGACGGAACAGTAGGATTATTCACTTCGTTTATTGGTTTTAAAACTATATACTGAAAACATTAACAGGTTGGCATCCTTGATGTGGAGCGCATGAAGGTCAAGACGCACTTGCGGACGCCCCACAAGAAGGAAGTCTACTCGCTGGTGTGGCAGGACAACTGTATCTACTTCATTGTGAATCGCGTGTTTGGGTTTTTCGACTTGAGCAAATCGAAAACTGGTGAGTGTTGATCCTTGACCTCATCCCATGTGTTGCCGCGTGTTGTACGTTTGGTTCTGGGCGTTGCGCTGTCCGTAGCTGATCTTTGTCTGCGTGTCGTTGGTCTGCCGCTTACGGATGTTGGCCAAGTGGATGGTCTCCCTGTGATAGTCCCACGCATTCCATGTCACGTTTATCCAGTTGGCTGGCGACAGATCGTTGGTCACAACCATTTCCGTTTGACACTCAAAATCCCTTTGCTTTGGCGGCTCAACTATGAGATCTTGCAGCTCCATCGCTATCAGCGCATCGTCCAACTTGAAGAGCAGCGCAAGATTGGCACTGTTAAAGACCACTTTCCTAAAGGCGGCTATAAAGGGCTCAAAGCGGAGCTCTGCGAAGCGAGCGTATCTTGGGTCCCGAAAGCCGAAAGTAATGTTCACATTGGAGCAAAGCTTCCTGGTCACTTGGGCCGGCATAAGCAGGCCATTCGTTATGGTCATGGCCAGGGAGCAAAACTCCTTAATGTCCGCCTTGCTTAGATTGCAAAAGTTGCCATCGGTCTGCAGGTTCTTCACCGCATCCATGCGTTCCTCGAAGGAGCAGACCTTGGGGTTCTTTATGCGCTTATTCAGGGCCTGCAGCTCGGTCACCGTTTCCTTGGCGAGGGTCATCAAGTCGTCGACCACCAACGCCTCCAACTTCTCCCGCAGCTTGTTCAACTCGACAATGTGGTTCAGGAAGTGGTTTAGATTGGCCCACACCTGTGAGATGTACACAAAGTGCGGCTAGAAACGAAAAACACTATTAGATTGAACCAAAAAGTGTAGGGTAAACCCTTCAATCTACTTACAAAGACCAGCTCCGAATCAATGGCGGTGCGCATGGCCAGGGTATCGTTAATCTTGGCCACCACGCAGTTGTAGCGCTTCTGCTCCACTTCAATCAGATAGACTGTGCTCTGGTAATGCTCGCTCAGAGTGGTCAGGCAGCGGTGCAGCATAAAGTAGGTCACCGAGAACTGGTTCAGACGATCCAGGTGCTCGAGGGGCACTCGGTAGGTCAACGTTTCGTCCTTGTGATCAATATGAATGAGATCATCGAGGGCCGCCTGGCAGAAGGATTGCATCTTGACGGCCCTTTCCAAACTGCTTCTGAAGGCCGCCTCCGTGTTCTTTTGAGCCATTTGCAGATCGTCAACCACTAGAAAATATGTTAGATTAAATATTTCGGAAACGGAAAAGCAAATTGTTAACCCACCTTTTCTGACATTCTCCCTATCTCCATCGGGTCCATCATTATTATAGATAACTATGCCGCCCACCGTGGCCGCCAATCGCTGAAGATACTCCAGCCGATGGTACTTCTTCTTTAGGACATAATTCTGCAAATCACTGCGTCCGATAACGCTGTTCAGAGCCTGGGCCGTAAGCTTGAGCAGCACATGGTTCTTGGGCGAGCCCAGATTGTAGCAGGCCACAATGAAGACCTGCATCTTGGCGAACAGCTGGTCCAGTTGCACCTTACTGCAGGTCTCTGGGTACTGGAGAATGTCTTTGATGAGCAGCTGCAGTTCCGTTTCGAACTTTTCCTCGTACTGCTTTTTGACATACTCCAGATCTATGGTCACTCCTTTCTTCATCACCCACGCCATCTTCATGTTGGCCATGGTACAATCCTTTGAATTCACATAGCTATCCACAATTGTGTTCACAAAAGAGTCAATGGCACAGGCGGTGGGTTTGTTCAGGTCGTATTTAAGCAGACCTCTTCGCTGATCCCTGGCCAGCAGGTGAACCGCGAAGGTGACGAACTCCTCGTCAACCTTGAGATCCAACTGCCGGAAGCGCTTCATAATGCGGTGACCAATGGTCACCAGTGTCCTGTGACGCGGCATTCTAGTAAAAGGAACGATTAATTTAATTCAGGGCAGAACTCGTTGAAAAGAAATGTGTAACGTTGACTGCTTGTTAAATTTATTTTCCTTGTTATTTTTCTGTTGCCCTTGGTTACACAGTGTAATTTTAATTTGCTGTAGAATTCGTACTTTGAAATTAATAATGCCCTTAATCTTTTTATTTTCCTTGATATTTAAGCATTACTTAACTTTTAATTATTCCTGCCAAATCATTAAAATGGTCACACAATTATCTTTGAAACTGAAATTTAAAGAGAACAATGGTCTCTAAGTTAAGTTAAAACAAAGAGTTTCTTGGCTTTGAGACACGATTTAACTAGCTGTTTAAGCTAAGCGCAACATGTAAAGCAAATTACTTGAAAATAATTCTTAAAGACAAGGAAAAAATACATACTTAAGATTTAATTTCGATTTAATAGGTAAACGATAGCTTATAGGCTTTTAAAGTAATATTAGAAGCAAATCAGAAGGCCACTTGTTTAGTTTTTATTTTATAAATATAAAAAATAAAGATCTTAACTAACCGTTTTTATTTTGTATTTTTTACAGAGCCCGTAATTGTGAATTGCATCTCGCGGCCCAGTTACCTCAGCGTTCGTGGAAACTTCCTTTTCGTGGGCACCGATGATGGTCTATTGCAGCTGCACGAACGAGATTCGGGAATGGGCAAGTCCTGGACTCCGTTTATCCGCCAGTCAGCTTTGCTGGCTCGCTATGTGACCGATATAGCTTGGTGCCCCTTGGACAGCAATAAGTTTGGAGTGGCGGGCAACGACAAGTCCGTGTATGTGATGGAGTTCCAGCCTGCGGAGCGCAACTGGAAAACGATGCACACTTTCAGGGCAAGCGCAGAGAAGGCTTCGATTACCTCGCTCAAGTGGAGTCATAGCCAGAAGCATCTGCTCCTCACGTTCCACATCGAGGGAAAGGTGTGCCTGTGGAACTGCAACGAGCCAGAGAAGCCACCACTGACCATTGTCTACCACTGCCCCATGTGGTGTGGAATGTTTTTGCCCACCAACGAGAATATCATCATGTGCTCGGGAAAGGCACTCTCTGTGGAGCTAATCGACATCAAGGCTGGCGATGAGCAAAGCATCTGCCCCAAAGTGGATGCCCTACTGAACGTTAAGTGGGCTAGCAAATCCCTGACGCAGCCCTTCGCTCCCGTACTCACAGCGGCTGATAAGAAGCGACAGCGACGCGACCAGCGGAAAATGGCAGCCAAACTACAAGCCGAGACAGCTAACGAGCATCAGAAGAAAGTCTCCGAATCGGAAACTCCTGTTAATGAAAACTCTGTTAAGGATATACCTGTGAACGAGACTCCTGTGGAGGAAATGCTGGGAGCTCTCAGCTTGGACAAGAAGTCCCAGAAAGTAAACACAAAGGAGTGCATAAAGTGCAAGGAATTAGAAGCTGGTCAACCGCCCGACAGTTTCTTGACAGTAAGTCGGCAGTGGCGTTCTCCAAAAACTAAAACTAATAATGTTTCCACCCACAGCATAGCCGCACCTGCCTCTACCTCACCCAGAAGGAGCTCAACAAGAGCGCCCTGGAGAAGTTGGCCATTGTTCTCACCGAGGACGCGGCCAAGATCGACAAGTCAGTGCTCATGTCGAAGCTTTTTAGTACCAAAGTGATGGCCAAGGAGCTCATTGCCACAGAGTGTACGTAAAATATAAATTAACAGATAAATCAACAATAATTCTAACGTTTAATGAAATATTTCAGTAACCAATTTGAAGCACTCAAACACAAAAGACATAGCCCCACTTTGTCTGGCCATATCCACGTTCAAGTTGCGCGAGGAGCTGGAGCAGCACATGGCCAACAAGACGCTTACCGAATGGCATCTCTCGGTAGCCCCTTCAGTGTCCTTTACGTAAGGTTTAGATCTTATGCTTTAAAACAAATTTCCTTCAATCTTGTTATATTTTAGGCTCTGGCAGGACTGTTGCCGCGCCTATGCCAAGCAAATGGAGGAAAAGGGCTTTGTCATGCACGCAGCCACGTATCTCTTTAGCCTGGGAATGCAGTCAGAAGCCATCAATCTGTTTCTGGCCAACGAGTACTACAAAGAGGCCCTGGTTCATGCGCGCATCTGCTTGCCAGCGACGGATCCTTTGATCAAGACCATAATTAACAAGTGGCTCGAGCAACTCGAGGGGAACGGGCAACTTTGCAGCAGCAGCTTTGATGTAAGTAAAACCACTAAAATTAAAATTTAAAGCAAAATAATAATGCAAATCCCTTTACAGATGCGTACTGGACAACGAAATGCTGCGCGGCTACTCTTATTTAAGGAAGTTTCGCAACTGCACTCCCGAAATCGCCGAACTGATGGACCAAATCAAACGGATTGGCCAGCTGGGCGGAGTGCTAGATGGTTGTGCCCCCATTGAGCCCATACACAATGGCTCCACTGCCGAACATTAAGCCTTAATTAATCTCGTTGATTTAAGCATTAGTTTTTAGTCTGAAACAGGCTGTATTTAGAGTACTCGTTCGAAAATCGCCCCGATACAATCATGAAGCTATTATCTATTAGCTAGGCATTTAAAAATGTTCATCCATGGATTTAACTAATTTTCATACCTAGATAGCCAGAGACTGAGTGGAATTGAAACTGTTTTAAGTTGCCTTCGGCATACCATTTATTTTAATTTAATTTACCCTAAAGAAAGGAGGAAAACACGATATATATATCAATGGCACAATAGCTAGTAAAGAAACACACACAAATTGAATTTTGAATAAACGAAAACGAGAAAAAAAGAAACCCAGCGGCAAGCTTTAATTAGAACAGGCCAAAAGCAACCATTTGTTATCAAAAGTATGACCGTTAGGCCTCATTTTCGTCTGGGCTTTGGCATCAAATTATGCAAATGGCAGGGTTCCCCAGCCCGCCGTCAGCATCACTGCCAGTTAGGAATTAAGTTTTAATTGTTGGAACAAGAGTCAGGGCGAGTGAACTTGCTGCACAGTCAGTAGCAACAGAAATAGCAGCAGCGAAAACAAACGAAACCGACGGAGAAATGTAAATCAACAAAACGACAGGCCAGAGCAGAGCTGGCTCGAAACTTTAAGCTGGAAGCGCCGCATTGCTCTTCAGTTGCCAAACAGACGTCGTAGCCGCCGCAGCGCTCGCAGAGTCTCGTTCGGTTGGACGAAGTTCGTTTCCTCAGTCTTTCGAATTTCACTTTTAACCGTTTGCAAGCGCGCCAAGCTGAAGCTTCAGCGTACCGTTATCGCGCGGCACGTTACGGAGTGAGTGACCCACACATCTCGACCATTCTCACGTCCCTCAACTTTGACTTGACCTGGTGATGGTTGATGGTGGTCGGTCGAGTGACCGTTGTACAATTAAATAACAATCAAAACATACATAATTGCGTACGAGAGCACATTTCGCTTTTGCGATGAGACAAAACGAGTTCTCCGTTCCTGGCTTTATTTAATTTAAGCGCGCAGTAAAAGTGCCAAGAACCACTCGTAGTTGGTGGTGGTGTTTTCTTGTGTGTGGTTTTGTTTGCCGTGCCCCATTAAAATCGTCGTTGGGGCGACGCAATTTGCATGAGCGACAACTTCGAATCTTTTGAGAAATTTATACTACGAGCAGTGACTCAACGCTAAACAATTTCGTGGAGTGGAGCAGCTCGTGTGTGAGTGCGTCGCTGAGAAAAAACATTTCTTGCTTGACTGATAATTTCTACGATCCGCGCTTATTGTTCATTTAGTTTTCGGTATTTCTGCCTGCCTGTTGTAACTGCTTGGGATGGATCGGATCGGATAGGCTTGGATCGTTGGCAATAATAATCATAATGCCGAGTGAAAGGTACATTTTACAACGCATCGATACATATGCTGGATATATGCCTATATATAATAGCTGATTGCATTTTGAAACGCACAGTCACAGCATAACGGCAACGCATTGGATTGGCCTTTTCGTTTCGTTTCGATTCCATTTTCATTTCGATTTACAACGACTTCATAATAACAATTTGCATAACTTTGCCGCTGCATTGTTGTTTATTCATGCATTCACCGCTGTCCATTGTTGCACTTATGCTATCGAACCCGCAATGCAGACACATCATATCATAGTTAACACAATAGCGAAATTAAATTAATTTAATTGTTTGCGAGGCGCGGGGAGCACAATGCGAAATATTTTGAAATGCTGCTCGCATTTTTTCGGTCACACAGGGTTCACAGAAATTATGTATGTTGGATCTGCATAATTTCGTAATCCTCGTCGCTTGGGTGTGGCAGGCAGGCAGTCATTCAGTCAAGGGCGCTGCGAAATCGCTTGCCACCTTTTCATTTTACCGGCGTTGAGTGCTAATAAATAGCAGTTAAACCGAAACCGACGAAAACCCGTTTAAATATGTATGAAAAAATGCCCCCGAAAAACCGGACAGCCCAACGAGAATGAGTTTGTCCAGCTAATTAGCAATAAAACAAACTTGGCTTGCAATTCTTTCCGGCCACCGAAGAAAGCCAAAAACCAGAACCACCGCATCGTCAGTGGGACAGGAAAGAGCTGGCTCTAAACTTGCAACGTCTACGGAATGTCAATGGGGCAAGTCACCACCATCAGACACTTTAAGGTGCGCATATCCGGTGCGTCGCTCCTTTTTGGGCGGAGACCAAGACCAAGAGCACCCCGGCCAAACCCAATGGATACGCCTTCGGGTGGATCTCATCATCATAATCGTAATCATCATTGCAGACCATGATGAGCACGATGAGCCGGCGCACCTGCGTGCTGACGACATTGAGCCGACAAGTTCGTCGCCTCTATTTTGATGACGATGTCTATTATGGGCGGATTACCGTATCCGACTAAGCGGATAACTGGGCTCCGAGCACCTCTGAGTGATGTGTTGGCGAGGCGTCTCAATTGTTTACACTCCACAGCACGAATTCGTGGGCAAGCCAATGGGATAATTGGTCGGGTTTTTTTCATTACAAGTGCCTACGGAATCGGTTTGTTTAAATGGGCTGAAATAAATCTTTAAATTACTTTCCATTTGTTAATTGTCTCATATTTTCCATCGTGATTCATTTTTCATTTCATTTTTTGTATTTTTCATTGCATCTGAGTTTATTGGGCGTTTTAAAGCTAGATATAATATAAATATTTCAAATATAATAAATACAAAAAAGTTATGCTAGTAAAATTTGGAAATATTAAAAAGTTATTATATTAATCTATTATTACATTTTAACTAAGCATTTGGCTGAATTTTAATTCAATTTTATTTATAGGAAATATTAAAGTTTTCACAATTCCTTAAAGCAATTCAGTTACAAATTCCATTTATTTCCATCTCCTTGTCTCGTTTAAAAATGCGTTAAGTACACAAACTTGGTAGCGGAGTGTAATTGATTAATTGATTTGGTTACTGACGAGTTTGCAAATTCATTTGTCATGACATAAGGTGGCTCGTAACTGGCATTTGGTAAACAGTTTCAGCCAGCTCTTCGACAGAAGCTTCCTTCTTAGCACGCGACACCATTTGTTTCGGGTCAAATATTTGCTCGGGCGAGCAAACAAAAGACTTGGACAACGAACTGGCTGTGTGGAAAAGTGAAAATCTTCTAAATAATATGGCACAGGCCGTTAGCCGACTGACTGAGAGTGCTACGCTGTGTTTATTTGTTTCTTAGCTTGTTTATACACACATATACACAGAGATTTTGTGTAGCAGCCAAAACAAGTTCGTTGCCTAAGTCTTTTGTTCCGAGTATCGAACTGGACGCATCGCAGCTCATCTCATCTCGGAATTCTCATTTCAGCACCAACCTAGCATGACACGGCTCAATTGGGCCGCTTAACGCTTTCATTCAACCCACAAGCGGTCTGGACTCGAAACCCATTCGAACATAAACCAACATAAACCAAGAACTAGAACACATAGCATCGTATCGCATCGCATCGCACCACTGGCCTCCTCCTCCTCCTCTTCCCCATTAAAAGGGGAACCAAGGCCAAACCACCCTCCCGCTTGGCAGCATAATTTCTCTCGAAAAACCGCACTCACACATATATTCACACAACAACCGCAACCGAATAACACGAATAATGAATTATCAGAAGGCCAGTGAAAAGCAGTCGCCGTCCTCATTGAAGAAGCGGCCGCCGGGCAACGGCAATAGCATACAAAACTTTTGGAACGAACGCATTATGGAGCGCTTTATAAAGGCGAATCTATTCATTATCTGCTGCGTGGTGGCGGTTCTTTTGCTGGTAAGTAACTTCGGGTGATATCTCCATATCGTTTTCATCTCTAAATGTATATCTTGTCCGTCTGCCTGTCCGTATGTCCGTCCGTTACCGTTATCAGTGTGAAAACATTTCTGCTCCATTAAGTGAAAATGAAATGAAATCGTTTTTTGCGCAAATGTAAAAATTTCATCTCTTTTTTTTTGCGCTGACCGAGTTGACAGTCCAAGAGGCAGTCCAAGTCGTTGAGGGAGGGAAGGTGGGAGCTCATTAATTGATTGATGGATGGTTGCGAGGCACAGTTGTCTCCGGTTTTTTTGTATGTTTTTTGTGCATCGCATTTCTACATCTCTAACTGCCATCGCCTGATTTATGTTTTCGCTTTTCTTCTGCGAATCTCGGCTAATTTCCATTTCTCTTCCCATTTCGATCTCCATTCGCAGATCGTCTATCTGGGGGCCTTCTCGTGTGAGGTCTCTTGGATACTGGAGGCCCACGGGGAGCTGCCCTTCGCCGCCTACACACTCTGCTCGCTGTACTTCGTCATGTTCGTGGCCACCACAATCCTCATCCACGGCCTGGTCAGCGGGCTCTGCTGGCCCTTGTTCGCCTGGTCGGGCATCATCGGCCTCCTCTCGATTCCAGAACTGGTCTTTGTCATGATCATGACCACACAGCACTGGGTAAGTTTGAAAACCAGACTAGGATTTACCACTAAGACAACATTTTTTTGTTAATTGGCTTTTTACAATACATTTAATAAATGTAATATCAGGCAATCAGGCTTAGAACCCACCCAGTTTTCAATTTGTAAGTTACTTAAAAAATCAGAAATTAATTTGTTAAACCTGGAGTCTGTTCGAACAATTTTTGTTTTTTTTTTATTTGTATCGACAAATCCTTGAGTTTATAAAGTTTTAAAAATCAGCGATGAAAAAATAGTATTTAAACAAAACGACTAAAAATACGTTCAGATGTTAATATGGAAGATTTCTAAAAGTTTAAAACAATACGTTATTAGAAATCTTAGTTGATTACCTTATATTGAAATACCGAGATTACTATTAATACCTGAGTATTCAAATTCTTGTCTTCAAGTCAATTAAAATTTCATCTGATTAACCTGTTAAAGGTGACCAATATAAAAATTTTAAAAATTTTCTTTATTTGGGGCTTAAAAATAAAAATGATGTTCCTAAGTTTAGGATAATATTTCAATCTTCTTACTTTTCAGGGTCTCCAATCGGTGCATGGACTGACAGAGCTGACTTCCTACCTGATTCGCCTGATCATCAACTGTTTCGCGCTGATCTGTGTGATTCCCACGGGCATTCGGTGGCGTCGGGAGACCCAGGTGCTGAGCCAGCTGCAGGGATTGGCCACTAGACTCTCGCTGCAAACGCCCGCGCCCAGTGTTCCCATGACCAAGGCCGACTCGCGTCGCTCCAGCCAGCGGCTGAGTGGATTCGAGAACGCCGGCTACCAGCTGTGCGATGAGACAGCCTCCAAGATGCCACTGGGTCCGGGAATGGGCTTGGGTCTGAACAACCAGTGTGGTGGTAGTCAGGCGTTTGGCTCCCAGAATGAATTCAATGCCAGCATGTTTGCGCCGGCCTTGGCCCAGCAGTTCAACAATGCCACACTGATGCAGCGAGGTGGCGGAGCTGGGGTGGCTCCTCCTGGCCATCGCGCCCAGTCCCTGATGGATCTGCGCTGCACTCTGCCCGGCATGTACAATCCGCGACATGTGCTCGATACGGAGGACAAGAATGCCAAGTACTTCAACATCACCATCGACGACTTGAAGAACAACCTCCAGGACTCGCACCGACCATCGCCACCCTCGCTGATTGGCTCCGTCAATAATGATCCCATATACTGCTCCATTGAACCCAAACAGTTGACACCGCCACCGGCTCAGCAGAGGCGTCCACGCGGAACCCACAAGCAGCCGCCACCCGGAAAACTCTCACGGAATTGCGTTTCGCTGGAGAACCTGGACGGTATCAGCAAGGTGCAGAATGACCTGACAGCCTACGGGAACAATCTGCTGCAGAACTACACGCAGCAGCAGCAATACTACCTGGCCATGTTGTTGCACCAACAGCAGCAGCAGCAACATTTGCACCACCAACAGGCGGGAGGCATCTACCGACGGCCCTCCAACTGCAGTTCCACGGGAGGATTCGCCGGCACCGTGATGGCTCAACCGATGCAGCGACGCGGCTCCACGCACAGCCAGCAGATGCAGTATTACGGTGGCTTTGGCTATGCCAACTACGCCAATCCGTACATCACGGCCAACAGCAAACTTTCGTTGGGCAACGAGTCCGACGACTACCGGAAGTACCGCGATGTGGCTCTTTGAGTCCGTTCCCGGTCCCGTTCATCCCGATCCCTAATCGATCATCAGTCAGCGCTTAGGTTAGACATCACTAGTTGTAGGACATGCTCGACATAGAATGAGATTCCTCGGAATAACGACCAAAGAGCCACAAACTAACTCAGTTTCAGTTCGTAGACTAACGTTACACTGGGAGAATCTTATGCCACGTTTATACGCAGGTTATATTTGTAAATAAATGGTTATTTGCCGAATCCATAAGCCCAAAAATATGTGTGCTATGCTAACAAACACGCCTCATTTACAAATAAAAATGTTCTAAATGAGGGAGACTTCACTGCAAAAACCTTGGGGTATAATTTAGATGGCAAATAAACATACTTTTCTCCTGTAGAAATAAATTTTTATGACAAACAATTATGGCAGGCGTATAAACCAAGTAACAGAGTAACTGGTTAAATAATCGTGTGACTTGCTCACATCGAGTCCCCCTTAGTTCTAAGTATCGAACACAAATCGACATTGACATTCATTGTTTATTATAGTTAATAGGAATACGAATAACAATACTCTGATCGACAGTCTAACCATCCACAGATCGAAAACTGTACATACTTGCAATAAAAGGCATTCATGTTTTTACTCGAAATCGAGAAGATCGGCCAATGGATTATCGCTTGATTTAGAGGGAATGATTGCAGTTGCCGTTGCGGCTTTACTGGTAGGTCCTTTGGACGCAACACGGGCCACTGGTTTGGTCTTTTTGGTTGTACTGCCCTTGGACGACGAGCCGCCTCCGAAAAGGTCATCATCATCATCGTCGTCGTCGCTAAAGAGACTTTTGCTTGTCTTTACGGGGAGCTTCTTTGCAGGAGCAATCTTAGCCGGCACATCAGCTTCATCGTCATCGCTGCTAAAGAGAGAAGTGGCCGCCGGTTTGGTGGGCTGTTTGGTTGGAACAGGCCTGCTGGTTGTTGGGATACTGGGCACTGATGCTGGGACGGTAGCACTGGCAAACAAATCATCATCATCATCGCTGTCATCAAACAGTTTCGGTGTTTTGGGCTTCATTTGTTCCTTGTCTGGAGCAGGTGCAACTTTAGCATCCATCCTTTCTGCTGTAGAAGCAGAAGACTTCCTAGCAACCGGAGCCGCCACTTTTTTTACTTTACTAAAAAGCGAATCGTCTTCATCTGGGCTGTCCAGAAAAGAGTTTCCCAACTTTGTCGGTCCCGAAGTTTTCTCTAACTGCCGTTGATCCACTGGTGGCTCTTTGGAAACTGTTTGTGGAGAGAATGCCGGCTTATTTTCAAACGGCTTGAATAGAGGATCATCTTCATCAGGGCTGTCCAAAAACGATCGATATGACTTGGGTGGATCTGATCCCTGCTTTCCTCCAACTGATCTTGTCGGAGGAACATGTGTCGTAACAGAATTAAAGAAGGAATCATCTTCATCGGGGCTGTCCAAAAATGATCCACCGTATTTAAGCGGAGGTGGCTTTTCTAGCTGCGGCTGGAGCTTGGGCGGCGCGTTAAGGATTGGAAGCTCTGGAGTAGCCTTAACTGATTGGGGAAGTGGAGACTTTACAGAAGTAGCTTCTATAGCTGGTTTATCTTCAGATGCACTGTTTTCAATTAAAGTTGCAGATGGTATGCCTTGCTCAGCATCCAGCAAGCTTTTGGCGTAATTTTCCTGTCTTCCCTTTCGCGTTGAGGGTCGTCTTTTTGCAGGTCCTCGAGCGCGAGATTTGTTGGCATGCTGCAGGCAACCTTCTGCTGGTGGTATGGCGTTTTCCCTGGAACTCGGAGTGGGCTCTGTATATTGGGCTGTGCTGGCAGTTTCTTCCCTCTCGACACTTGAAGACTCTTGTTTCTTGGGCAGCTTTGGTAGGCCTCCGGCTCCTGGAAGCAAGGCCTGCACATTTATATTTATGTTGGGCATTTTCAGTTTATTTACTGGAGAAGTTGGGACTTCGTAGCTCAGGGCTCCTAACTTTACTGCGATCGGGTTCATCAGCTGGTGGTGTTTCATCATCGTATCTGAATGGTTTGGAAGCTGGTTGCACTGCTCCTGCCCTTGCTGTTTCACTAAAGTCATCGTAGAATATTGTGTGTATTCGCGTTGTTGTGGGTGCGATTTCCTCCTTCTCAGCTTCAACCTGGCTTCTGTGATTCGTCACCATCACGGTTGTCATCTTCGGGTGGGATGTCACTAAATAAACACATGGCGCCATAGTCGGATGATGAAGAAGGTTGATCCCCAGGCGTTACTGGTGATGGTTTGGTCGTAGTCGGAATTTTTGGCAAGGCGGGCTCAAAGAAATCATGCTCGTTGTCGAAGATTTTCGAGGCACTTAGGCTGCTTAGGCCGCTGCCTCCGAGCGTTTGGAAAAACTCGCTGTCATCCGGCGGCTCGTCGGAAAAGAGATTTGAGTAGTTCTGCATGATTTGCTGTGCAGCAGCCAGATCCTCAGGCTTTCTGGGGGTGGACATCTCGTTTGGTGGCTTACTAGTGGCATCGGCCACCATTGTTATAATGGGATCTTGGTTGCCTAGATCATCATCCGGTGGGGGACTTTCGGAAACTGGAACGTCTATTTGAGATTTGCCTAACGCTTCGGGCAAAACATCATCCTTTTCATCGATAATTGCTATATCATCTACTTTGTTCTGCGGCAGTTTCTGTGGTAACTCTTCTGGCCTAATCTCACTCACCAACTGGTCTTGAGCTGGCATTTTAATTTTATTTGTTGCTGTAGCACCTACTGTATTATCCTTAATCTTCGATGCACTCAAAAATGGCTCATCATCGCTTAAATCATCGTTGAACAAGTCAGTTGGTTTAGTAGTAGATGCAGGAGAATTGACTGGGTCTGTTTTAACCTTGACCTGCAAAGTATTTTCTTCAGTTGGTTTCATAAATTCTTTAGTTTCATCAGCACTTTTTGGTTTAACCTTAATATTTGAAGGGCTAAGGAATGAATCATCATCGCTAAGATCTTCATGAAACAAATCTGTCGACTTCGAAATATTAGGTGCGGATAAATTATCCTTAACCGGATTTCAAATCTTCTACAATTTCTATAGGGGGAGGTGAATCTCTAAAAATAGGTATAGATGAATTTACTTCTATTTCCTTTGGCTGGGTTTCCTTAATCTCGTTTTTCAAATGCTCCTCTTTCTCTATTTTAAGGCCAGTATTTTCAAAGGTCTGAGGAACATTTTGTTGCTCACTGGAAATTAAATTCTTAGCCTTTGGTGTTCCAAATAAATCCTCATCATCGATATCATCAAAAAGACCTTTCTTTTGGGCTATCTTTTTGTCCGGAAAAATTTCTGGAGGCGAGTCCTTAATCTTTTGGTCGGAAAAAATATCTGGAGGAGAATCCTCAATCTTTTTGTTTGCAGAAACATCTGGGGGCGACTCCTTTCTTATTACTGTTTGTCTTTTTCGAGCCAAACAAATCAGTGACATCATCTTGGTCATCGTCCTCAAACAAACTAGTCTTTCCAGCTACTTTTTCAGAGAGCTTTTTGGGTTGAGCCTTTGGTTTTATAAATATATCATCAATATCTAAATCATCATCATCAAATAGTGAAGTTGTTGGTTTTGAGAGCGGTTTTTGTTCTGATGGCTTTGTTTTGGGTTTGAAACGAGCTCAAGAAGTCATCGTCTTCCAAATCATCGTCAAAAAGCGATTTCGGCAGCGGTTTCGTTGACTTCTTTGAAGGATTTTCCTTTGGCAAGACCTTCGTGATAGGAGAATCACCAAAGAGGGACTGGCTTTGATCATTTTTGGCTACTATGGCTGGGCTGTGTTTTGGAATAGCACCCGATGCTCTACGGTCATCAATCCTTGGAGTTGGACTCAATGGGGGACTGTCGTCGAATAGATTTACACGTTTCGACGCTGGTTGCTCAATGATTTGTTTTGGCGCCTCGGGCTTAGCATTTCGTTCCACAGATTTCCTCTCTTTGGGTGGTTCTTTTACTGAAATCGTAGGTGCAGGAGCAACTTGGTTGCTGTCCCCCTTGGCCTGGACTTTGTCAACGATTTCGGACATGAACGATTTAAACTCATCGTCGTTGAAGAGATTTACTGGCATGCGCTTAGTTTGACTTGGCTTGATCTCAGTTTCCTTGGGCGTTCGCGTTGGAACCGCTTCGTCGAAAAGCCTCGGTGGCTGTTGAGCAGGACTGCTGCTGCTGGAGCTCAGCGATGCCGCAGACGCTATTGGCAAGCGACTGGAGGGACTCCTAAAAGCTGGCGAAGATGTAGGCGAGGATGAAGTGGACGGCGGATCATCGCTAGGCGGCGACTGCCGGAGTGCAGCAAACATGTCCCTCTCGTGTGGATTCCGTTGACTACTGATAATGGGACGCGGTTGCGTTCTGACGACAGGTTCTGCCACCTGCACAGCAGGTTTAATTACTGGCGACACAGGTGCCGGTTCCCGTGCAAAAGAGGCCAAGGAGGAGGAGTCCGATGTATGGGGCTCTACCAATTTGTTCGCTGGCATTGTCACCTTCTTCGGCACGGACTCCCTCTCGTCCGATGAGCTGGAGGAGAACTCCTCGGACCTTTCATCCTCACTATTTTCCTTGCTGTCATACAATCCGGCGTATTTGTGTTCCTCCCACTCCTTTGTGCCAATAATATAGGGCAGGGGAATAGCATCGTATGGGTTCTTTGCCCGGAATAGGGTTCTATGGAAAGATGAGTTGGTTAGGAGTTCAAAAAGTGTAATAAACATACGTTGAGTGCACCGGCGCATCCTCGTCATCCGAATCCGGGATTTCTATGGTCACCGGCTCAAAGTTCTTGCGGAACATTCGCAGGTTGTTTTGCAGAAACTCCTTGGACATTTCCTCGGAACTCTTGGGCGGCAAATCGGGCTGAAAGCATATCCAGATTTGTAAATACAAATCCATTGAAAAATTCTATCGCCTATTGCACCTTCTTCTTCTTCCTATCTGCGGGCATGGCCAAATCGGCGTCATCCACCTCCTCCACCCGATACTCCACAAACTGATTGCCAAATTGTAGCGATCGCAGGCTGTTGGTGGCATTACTCAAAGATATATCCACTTGCTTCACACTCGTCTCGAAGTCCCTCAGATTGCGACTGGTTTTCTCGCCCCTTTCCTGCAGATTCTGTTTGGAAACATTTTATCAAACTGGATTGTTGATAAAGACTTTAGTCATTAAAAAGCAAACCTGAGAGATGCGCTTCATCAGGTCCAGGAGAGCGCAGTCACCGGCAAAGTTCCAATCCGGAGCCTGGGCTATAATCCGGTCCACATCCGCACTTAAATCCATTATCAGTCGACTTCAAATTCGCGATTTAAAAAATTAATAACAATGAAAAACACAAACAAAAAGAAAACTTAGTGATTACACCCAATTGGCGATGTGCGATAGTTAATCACCTGTTATTTATTGGTAGCTTTTTTTTTTTTTTTTTTTTTTTTTTTTTTTTTTTTTTTTTTTTTTTTTTTTTTTTTTTTTTTTTTTTTTTTTTTTTTTTTTTTTTTTTTTTTTTTTTTTTTTTTTTTTTTTTTTTTTTTTTTTTTTTTTTTTTATTTTCTTTTAAATTTTATTTTTTTTTTTTTTTTGGTCATTCCCTGGTGTTGTCGGGGTGTCCGGTCGTCGTCCGTCTGTGTCGTCCGTGTCGTGTGTGTCGTTTTAAACGAAATATATAGTTTTCTGTTTTAGATTTCCATTGAATTGTTTAAAATTTATTTTTTAGGTTAATTGTAATAGGATTTATATATAAATAAATTTAAAAAAATTATACTAGTAAAGATTTAGCTATTTTCACTTATTTTTTAATACGCTAATCGCTCACCTCTATCTCTTCGTACCAGCTGTTTGAGCAATCGTTATCGATAGCTCGTGTTTCGAACCGATACCTGATAGCACGTGTTGAGGCTGTTCGCATTTTACGAATTATATTCTAGCTGAATTATAAAAATTAATTTAATACCACTTAAAAATACAATTTAAGTTATTTAAATATGGCTATGCTGGCGGAACCACGTCGCCGCAAGCGGTACAATTTGTGTCCGCGCGGCAAGGCGCTCTATGAAGGTGAGAATTTCGAAATCAAGTCTGCTTTCAAAACCTAAAATCTGTCAAAATTACTTGGCAGACGAGAATCGCTTCGGTACCAAAATGCTGGAGAAGATGGGCTGGACCAAGGGCAATGGCCTGGGCGCCAAGCAGGATGGCGAAAAGGATTTCGTGCGCATTCGCTTCAAGAACGACGCCGAAGGATTGGGATTCGAGGCGAGGGATGATCAGTGGACCACTCACGAGGAGGGATTCAATGGACTACTGAAATCCCTGAATGGCGAAGAAACTGAGGCTAATGGCAAGGAGTCGGAAGCCGAAGAGGAAGCCAGACCCATGGGATTTGGCTTCAAGGCCGAGGAACCGGAGGAGCCATCGAAGAAGAAACTCAAGGAGAAGATCAGTGGCATCTCACTGGAAGAAAAGTCGAAGCAAAGTAGGGCTCGTGTTCACTACAAGAAGTTCACACGCGGCAAGGACTTGTCCCAGTACAGCGAAAAGGATTTGGCCAATATATTTGGCAAAAAGGCCACAGACGATTTCGAGGCACCAGAAGCCGTGGTGGTTGAACAGCCCCAGGAGGAAAAGGAGGTGGATGCCAATTTCGCTGGCGTGCAAACTGTTAGCACGGGTCTTTCTGTCAGTGATTATTTCAAACAGAAAATGGAGGCCATGAAGAACAGGATGAAAAAGGGAGGTGAGAGCACTTCAACGAAGAATCCAGAAGATACTGAAGCTCAGGCTAATGGCCACGATGAGAAGTTCGAAGACACCTTAACAGAGAATGACCAAGAGCCCAGCAAAAAAAAGAAGAAAAAGAAGGACAAGGAAAGGACTGTCGAGCCACCAGTGGAGGAGGAAGAAGTCGAGCAAACCGCTGCCAAGCTAAAGAAAAATAAGAAATCTAAACCATCGTCTCAAGATGAAGCTGAGCAATCGGAGGAAAAACTTGTAGAAAGCGAGGAATCCAATCCCCTTAAACGAAAGAAAAAGAAGAAGGACAAACAGGAAGAAATTACAGAAGATACGATAGAAATCATTGAAGAACCTGCCTCAAAAAAGAAAAAGTCTAACAAAAAAGAAGAAACTGCAAAAAAAGAGATAGAAGCCGTTGAACAAACTGAAGAACCTGTCCCAAAAAAGAAGAAAAAGTCCAAGAAAGTCGAATTGCTGGATTCCGAAGTAATTATAATAGAAGATGACTTACCACAGGACAAGGAATCTGAAGCTTCAGATGAAAAGACTAGTAAAAAGAAAAGTAAATCAAAGAAAAATGAAGATGCCCATGTAACTCATTCAGAGAACACTATCGAAATAACAGAGGAAACCTCTACAAAAAAGAAAAAGAAGAAAAATAAATCTATAAACTCTGTGGAGCCCGCACCTGAACTGTTGATTCCTGCACTTGCTGTCGCCGTGGAGGCGGAAGTCAAAGACGTAAGTGCCGACGATGAAGATCCGCCCAATGACCTCTTATCACTGGATGAGATTAATGAAAAACTAAAAACATTCAACACTTTTCAAATCTCTAAATTTTGTGCAGACAAATTCCAATTGTTCGACATGAGTGCCTTCATAAATTCGACGCTGAGCGAGATCGTGGGCTATGCGAGCAGCGATAACATCGAGCTGGAGGTGATTGATAATGACACCGACAAACAGCGCATACTCGATCTGTGGAGCAATAAATCCCTCAAGGAATCTAGGCAAAAGTTTCAGCACATACGATATCCGAGAACTGTTAAGAAGAACACCATTCGAGCGGTAAAGAAAAGAGTCGCATTTCAAGGAATTTAGTTCGAGCAAACGAAATATAATTCAACGTGATTCTTATTATGATTGTTTTGTACATAGACAACTTAAGTAGGTAGATTGTAAGCTTCATGGTTTACATTTTAATGTATAACAAGATATTTAAATAAACTGAACTATACATTTCAAGCTGTGACATATTCTTCAGTCTTATTCATAGAACCAATATGGGACCAGACTGTCGTGAATATTCCTTCCCGTCGTCCATGCAATTTATGAATGAATGTAACGAAATGTAATATCAATGGGGATCTTAATAGCTACTATGATAACATTACAGCTAGTCTGGTGTTACATTGCGATTCGCTAGACGGCGAGATCGCCGCAAGGGCCTCTTGTCCTGATCCGAGCTATGGGCTCGCTTTACCGGACGATTGGCGTTGCTGCGGCTGAAGTTGTTCAGATGAACATGAGTATCCCACTGCAAAGGCGGATGGAGTTGAGCATTAAAAGGCATTCAAATAGGTGTAGGTTGTTGCCAACTCACCGAACCAGACACTATTTCTGAGCGCTCTGGATGCCAGTCCAGGTCTCTTATCACATTCCTATGTCCTTCAATAGCCTCTTTAATCTTACCAGTAAGTACATCGTAAACTGTAAAATAACAATGGGGTTGCATAACTTTTCTAAAATATTCTGTAAAAATTGTTTATGATTTTTCAGTAAAGTTAATGATAAAGAAAAGCCAATTTTAAGTTTTTAAACATAATGGGGTCATGATCAGAAAAAGTTCTAAGAACATGCCTCCGGTTGCATAAACAAATTTTTAAGAATTTCTAAAAATACAAAAGCTTATCAAGTAATTGAATTTAGAACGCCTTGTAAATGTAAAACGAAGAAATACTTAGGGTATTCAAATGCGTTTTCAAGGCCTACTATTGACAACTATCTTGTATAGAAATTGTTGTTGGAACTGCCTTACACTTTTACACTTTACAACGTTCGCAACGCAATTTAATACCCTAACTATCATTTCAATTTTCAAACTCACTTATAATACGTCCTGTGGCACAGCCAGTGTAAATGTAACGCTGTCCTGTCTGCTCCATGGGCGAAAACTTTGCCCGCAGCAGGGTTTTGGTGACTCGATGACCACGATAGGTCATAATGCTGGTGTCCCCATCCAGCGCCTTTATGGGGATTGTAAACTGCAATGCGATAATGGTTAGAATTTCCGAGAATCTTAAATGCCAAAGCTTACATTCGCGCGGCACACGATTCCAGCGGTAGTCCCACATGGTGAGGTCCAGCTGCTGCTGCCTGGCGCGGCTGCGATTACGCAGATTGCTGGGCTGCCTCATGTCCCAGATCTTGATGCTTTGGTCTTTGGAGTTGGACAGCACGTGGTAGCCGTCGTTGCGCGAGTCGATGTAGGTGACGCCATCGTAGTGGCCAATGAAGGAGGCCACCGTTTTGGAGAGCTCGCGTGAGCGGAAGGAGGTGCGCAGGTCGTAGACCTTAAGCAGTCCATCGTCGCAGCCTGCGATTATCACATTTGGGTCCTTGTCATGCAGGAAGCACACCGAATTCACATCGTTGCCGGGCATGCGGTGGGTGCGCAGGATCTGGGTGGTTCGTGTGCGTATGTCGGTCACGATGACCGTGGCATTGTTGCTGCCGCCGATGATCTTGTCGCCCGTGGGCGAATAGCGCAGCGAGAAGATGGCCAGCCGATGGTTGGGCAGCCCATTCACATCGATCCACTGGCAGTCGTCCTCGCCCCCGTTCACGGGCATGATGAAAACTGCAGGGTAAACATGTTACTAGAGATCATTAGTGGATTACCGACTACCTACATGATCGCGACCAAGTGCTATAGGCAAAGTGCTGGCCATTGGGGCTGAAATCCGCATCGATGATGCTCCACTCGACATCGCGGGCTCGGATGCGATTGAGCAGGTGGTAGGTGCCCTTGGCGCCGTCGTAGATGCGCACAAAGCCATCTGGAATGGTAAACAGGTTGGCTTAAACGACACACTCAAGGCTTTAGGCCAAAATATGCTGACCTTGGCAGGCGGTCAGCAGTTTGCTGCCCGTGCGATTGAACTTGGTCACGAAGACTTTCGAGTCCAGCGACATGAGGCGCTGTGACTTCTTGTTTGGTATGTAGAGATTGGAAATGTAGCGCTGCTGGTTCTTCGAGAACGAGGCGCTGTGGGGCGAGGCCAACCCATTTTCACGCTGCTGAAGGGCATGCACCAGATTCCAGCGATTCTCGGGATTGCTCACCAGGCCACTCGAAGCCCTGATCTCCTTGTACATATCAGTGTTCTGAAAAGTCAAGCGCAACGTCACAAATCACTGCCTTTTCTTATCTGGTGAACAGGCTATTTCGTGATTACCTGAAATTTTACAAGATCGGGCTTGCTCCTAATAACTGGCAGGTCGTTATTGTTACAGTACTCAGTGCGCAGTTCCATGTCCATGGCATTCACTGTAAAGTTGATCACATTAAAGCCCAGATCGTTGTCCGAGGAGTCAAAGTCATCGTCGTCATCGCTGTTCATCTGGATTCCCAATTGATTCCCCATAACTTTTTGCGTTTTCCCTTTTCGCCCTCTTTTGTTATTAAATTCACAGTTGTTGAAAGTTAGTAGGACCGCAGGCGAAAAGGGGGGCAAATACCACACGGACACCTGCAGCCACACCAAAGTTCAAAAGTTCACCGACTATCGATAGGTTTGCTATCGCAGTAAAAGAAGTGCTGGGCAACGATTTTTATTTAAAAATATTTTATTTAAATTGACAAAAAGAATTCCTGGCTAGCTGTTCTGTAAGAATTTACTAATAAGTTAGGCATCCCAAAGAGCAAATTAACATTAATATTCTACAGATTTGTAGGTACCAGCTTTTCAAAATTATTAATTTTTAATATTTATTAAATATTAATATTAATAATACATTTAAAATTTTGGTTGGAATATATTTTCAAATTTAAGTTCGTATTGATATGTATATATTATTAAAAATGAAGTCCCACCATTATCGATCAACAATCCACGATCAATAAAAAATGTTGGGCATGCGCAGTTGTCCTCCTCCGCTCAATCTCGGCTCAGAGCGGATCTAATTTCCTTTCCACGAATAATAGGAAATCAAATCAATCGACTTAATTCAAAACTAACAAAATTTTAAGTTTAAATTTTAAAAAAATTGAATCTGGTCTCAACAATTGTCTACCGATAAAAGTATTGGGCATACACAGAGAGCTTTTTCGAACTAAGCCTCTCTGAGAGTTGAGAGCCCGACTTACGTTTGGATTGCTTACGTTTTGTTCACACTTACGTTTTGGTGAACCAAACATCGCGCATACGCAAAGTTAACGTGATTCGAGAACGTCGTGTCTCTCCGTCGATCGTGAAACTGCTCGAACGGAAAAGCAAAGCGGAGAAAAGCGGCTCGAACCTTGTGCTTGTGTGAGTGAACGCGCCCGTGTGTGTGTGTCTGTGTTTGGTAATGAAATTTTGTTACATTCCCCGAATATCCGAATATCGAAACCTGCTGTTCAGAGAGACTTTTGGAGCCACAACAAGAAGTGCCGAAAATGTGATCAAAGCAAGCATCGCAGAATTGGAATTCCAAACTCCAAATTCCGAAGCTTGCGAACTGAACAATCTGCTCTCCCCTTTTTGTGTGTGTATATGTGCTTGGATCTCGTTGGGGCCATGTGCCTGTGTGTGCGTTTGAGTGCGCCTGCGTGTGTGTGAAATTTATGATAAATACTTTTGCACAAAGCGCGCCCCTTTGCAGCCAGAAGAAGAAAGTTGTTTAGCATATATGCGTAAAAGTAATAGAAAAATACATAAATAGAGAGAAGAAGAAGTGTGTCAAAAAAAAGGGCCCAGAACCACAGGCATACAGCTCCAAAGATCGCGTGTGTATAATCAAGGCGAAAATAACAAAATAATAGCGATGCTGGGGAAATAATTTACGAAAAACTGGAACGAACGACGAAGCCGCAGCGGCAGACACGAAAAAAAGTGAAAGATTGCAAGCTGACGTTTGAATTTGAAGCTGCGACTGCGTCACGGCATAAACACACACACATAGACTAACACAAAGACACACTCGCACACACAGAGAGACGGGGTGGGTGGCTTAAGGGGGGCGGGGTTAGAAGAAACCACCTGTCATGGGCGCTGGTTGCACCTCCCTTTCAACCACCAAGGTTTCATATGTACACAGATATGTACGGATGTATGTATGTGTTTCCAAATTATTGTGACTGGCTCATAAATTATTTTCGGTGTTTGTGCTTCTAATTTATTGCCAGCGAAATGGGCGATTTCTAAAAGCAATTCATTGTTCCGTTCAATTAGCAACTCTGCAATTGGCACAGAAACGCAAGTACTTGTCTATCTCAGCTTTGCCCAAACAATTCTCACACTCCACTCTTTACATACAGTAGAGCTTCTCTAAAAAGAATAACTAATTAATTTGCAAAAGAAATAAAAACACGTGTTGTGGGTATAATTAAACTTCTATATTGGAATCCAAGAAAAACCTTTTTTTCCATAACTTTTATACTTTGAACTGTTTTTGAAAAAAAATTTTTCAATATTTTTTACATTTTTATTTATCAAAAAAGGTTTAAACGCCTTCATTAATATATCAAAAATTATAGAGACCATTTTAAGATTCCTGATTTTAAAAGCAAAAGTTTGAAAATAATTTACTGACTTAAAATATTATAAACTTATTTCCGTATTTGAAAATTACCTGATCTTTTGTTTTGATTTTATGTTATTTTTTTTAAATTTATATAGAGTTTACAAAAGAGTTTTGTTAAATTTACATATTTTTGTTTGATTATTTTATTTTTGTGAGTTAATTAATAACAACACTCTTCAAATCGACTGGTTATTTTCTCCCTCTGTCAGTGTCACATTTTGAGTGCTATTTCGTATTTTTCCTCATATCGCTGCTCTGCACCCAACCAAAGTGACGCAATCATTTGCATTTTATTTTAATTCCTATGATTGTTTCACTGCCTGGCTGAATAACCAGTTGCCGTTTGTCATGTTATTTCTGGCTGGCTCGGCTGTTGTTTTCTTGCATTTATCAAATCTTTGTATCTGGCTTTAATGTGATTAGCTGCGGCAATTATGCCAATTCAAGTTCATTATGTTGTTGCTGCGGCAGTTTACTGTTATTATTGGTATTTATTTAATTGTCATTGTTAGCGTTTCGTTAAGCAATATCGCAGCGATAGAAGAAACGAAAGACTTAGGCAACGAACTCGTTCAGCCAAATTGAATTGCCCCGATGCAAATGCTTCCGACTGCTTATCAATTTATTTAAATGTTTCGATTGCGAACAATTGCCCGTGCAGAGCAACTTTCGTTTTTGTGACTGCTTCTCCTTTTGTCATGATTTTTATTTTTTTTTTTATAATTTATTCGCATGGCATTTCGTCCGCATTGAGGTGGAAAAGAAACCCAAAGCTGGCACGGAACAGCGGCATGTGTGCGAAATTCTATGCGGCTTCTCGGGTTACCAGGCCTCTCGGCTTCTTAGTCACACCCAAGTGGCCATGGTGGCATGATGGGATATGACGGGATGATGTAAGTCGCACGAGGCGTTTTGTCAAAGCCGCCCCCTCAGCTAATTTGCCCGCCCAGGAGGGTCTTCCCTGCTATCAGCATATCCATGTCCATTACAATTATCATTACACGCTAATTATGTCAAAAGCTAAGCGTAATTGGACCATTCAATCACACCGATAGTGATCGCATCAAGAGATCAAACTGCCATTTGTGTCGCCTTTGTGGGCGTTGTTGTTGATTGATATTCGAATCGAAGCGTGGGCTGGCCAAAAAGAGCTGGCTGGGATTATCGACATGTTACTCATCGCCCGGGTTTATAGGGTCTTTTAGGGCATCATTCCCCTTACTCCCCCCCTCTTGATTCACACATCAATTTGTTGCTTCACATTCGCTTTGGTCGATCAAGAGCAGTCGTCAAAAGCGGAACAAAATTTAATTCACAGCCAATCAAAATAATTTGGTGTTACAAAATCTCTTGGCGGCGGCCTTCGCCACATTTGCATTTTCCCCGTATTTTCCATTAGTGCTGCAGCAGCTGCGGCATGCAATCCGCAGATCAGCAACCTTCGATGCCGCAACTGGCGCTAATCATAAGGCCTTGCTGGCTATCCCCCAAAACCACCCACCACCCATCTCCTATCGACTCAACGTTCATTAAACTTGAAGAGAAAGAAAGCAAAACGATGACTTTGAGTTCGACTGGAGGCTCTTGGCTTTTGTCTAAGCCGGTGAGCCGCATTTGGTTTTAATTTTGGTCAGTGCAACAGCAACAGCAACTGAAACCACAATGCATTCAATCAAAGCAACATGCACTTGCTCGCTCACACACACAATCTGCTTTTTTCCACTTCAATTTAATTGTTGAAGCTAAACAAAAAACCGAAAGGAAACCTGCCAGCAACAATCGCGTCAATTAATCAAATGGAAAATGCAACTTTTGTGCCGGTGCCAGGCGGCAGTTGCAAGTTGCACGAGCGAGTTGAGTTGCCACAAAAGCAGCAACTCAAGTTCAATTGTGGCACGTTTGGGGCAAACTCAAGCTCAAATTCCCACAGCGAGGTCAATGGCAAGGCGAAATGGCTTTAACCCTTTTTGGCCAACATAAAAAAAGGAAACAAACTGTGTCCAGTTAATTAAAATTCATTAATAATCCCAGCTCGAAGCCAAAATAAATGAAAGTTTTGGCTCGGTTGACAAACACGCCTGCGCAGAAACATATATATATATTTTTTTGTTTCTATGGGCCTGATTTGGTCTTGGTCGAAATGTCAGCCGAAATAGGAAATTTCTATCTCCCACTCAGCCAGTAATCGTTTTCGGTCATTTTCGTTGGACAGCTTCTGCCAGCAGCGGACGGATGACGAGGATGAGCGGATAGCGAATAGCAAATAGCGGATGAACGGATGATGTCTCCGTCGCCACCACCACCACCACCACCATCAGAAGAACTAACTGCAAACTCGAAAAACTAGCAGAATATACTCGTAAATTCCACGCCAAGTGAAATTGAAAGACGACAAGAAAAGAAAAGTGACAAACTCAACAGGTACAGGTCCACCGAAAACCAGTCGGAAGCTGCGCACAAAAAATAAACAGGAGGAGGAATACATAGACACACGACATTATGTATCGGCCAAATTTCTACGAGTCGACTTGCCTGCGCTGCAGCGAGACCGTCTATCAGGTGGATCGTGTGGGGCCGCTCAAGGATTTCACATTCTTCCATTCCGGTTGCTTCAAATGCGTACACTGCGGCACCAAGCTGACGCTCAAAACGTATTTCAATAATCAGCACAAGCAGGATGACAAAGAGGTAAGTGCTACCACCAATACCCAAACATCCAAGCAACCACATATGCAACATATAGCCAACAGCAAGCTCGAGTGAAAAAACGAAAGACTTAAGCGACAAACGCGTCAGACTAAATATTTGCACAGCTGCAAGATGCAAAAATGCAATTCGAACGACACTTTTTTGTGTGCCTATGCATAATAATAAATAACTTCGTTATTGCACTTTGCCGAGGCGCAAATGTGTGTCACTGCGGTCTGTCATTCATATGCAATATACGAGTATATGTACCTTTAAACTTGCTTATGTATGTTGTATACATTTATGTGTACAGTGCGTTTCGCTTTTATATGGCTGCGGTAAGGTAGCAGGTCGTGGGAATCCTTGTTTACAGTAAAATAGATTAGAAGAATAGTAGAATATACAGCAAATCATTTGTTGTTTGTTAAGAAGAAGTAATAAAGTTATTTAAATATTTCGAACTAAAAGTAATTTGTAGTAAGTAATTCTATTCAATAGCTAATTTGCAGTTAATTTAAATGAGTTCATTGAAGGATAAAACTATAATATTGAAATGTTAAAATTTAACAATAACAACCAGTCACCTCCAATAGCTGCATAATTATCATAAAATAATTAAAATATAAGGGACGAGATATTTTCTCAAGAACTAAAAGAAATATTGACCTTTTTCCAATCGATACATATACCAGCTTTAAATACCCAAAACGCACTGTATTTATAACATATCACATATATTTTGCCACCTGCTGTGTGTAGGTGAAGTAGTAAAATTTGCATTTGCAAGCGTTTGATTTTTGGGTTCTGCTCACGCACTCAAAACGAAACCCAATAAGGCTAATGGGGTATATGATTTTATGGCTAGATAGATACAGCTGAAATTCCTTTCAGAAATGAACTGAAAAAAGGGCGTTAGAATTAGTTTTTAGAATAGAATAAGTTTTTTCTAGATATATAGATACTAAACCAGTTTATACCAATGATTTGTGCTTTTATACTCCTTTATAATAAAGATGGGATCCTAAAAAGTTTGGGTTTTTGACCAGAAAAAAAATGCATGAATGTTTTAAATAATTTTAGTTTTAATTATATCCGTGTTGTAATCGTATAATTATACTGAAAGTCTATTGCTATTATGTTTTTAACAAATTATATTTTAACTGCAGAAAATGTGCTTGTTTTGCTATGGCGAACACCATGTTTTATGTGGTACATATATCCCACCAACAAAATAATAATTAATTATCCCTCTTTAAGGTCTATTGCAGTTCACATGTACCAAAGAGCGGACCCGGCCATCTCGACCAGACCTCGGTGGGGATTCGTCAGGCCCTGAATGCGCCGCGCACCAACAAATTCGTGAACGAGCAGATACGGGGCACTCGCAGCGAGATCGATGGTTAGTATGGATGGCTGACATGGACTGCCGACTTGGCTAACTGCTAACTCTGTTTTGCGGGATCTCTGCAGGTGGCCCACTGGGTGGCTCCCGGCAGTCCACGCCGAACGGCTATGGTGGCCGGGAGGTCAGCTCTCCGTCGCAGAACGACTCCGACTACAAGTACGGACGGTTCGATGCCAGTGCCCTCCACATCGCCCATGCCCTCAAGCAGACGGAGATCCAGAAGGCCTACAACAAGGCGCGGGAGAAGCCGATTGATTTCTACCTGGTAAGAGATGATGCCCCCCGATGATTACCAATCATAAACATTATGGGGAGTGATCCATCCGCTGAGATGCGGAGCCGCCAAGTGGCCGCAAATTAAGAGAATATTTAGTGCAGAACATCTAATGAAATTTTAAGTGGCTAGCGGGGCCAGCTGGTCAAGTGTGTATCTCCCGTTCTCTCCAAGCTTCACCGATTGTGCAATGTTCCTGGGCTTAATTAATGCACTGCCAGTGGTGGTTATGTAGGCTAGTGTGCTATTTACACTCGACTGTGGGCTATTGTTTGTTGCCCAAGTGTCCGAGTCTCAAGACTGCGGATTCAGTTTTGCCGGTAGTATTACCTAAAAATAAATTACTTGAAGATAGAGGGTAAAAAAATAATTTTTAGGAGGAGAAATATTGAGAAATAATTTAAACTAAATATTCTCCAGAGAAGTATTATCAAAAAAACAGTTTCCATTTGAGTTATCAAAGATGACCAAATGGATGAAACCCGTTAGAGTATCTTCAAGCAAACCTGTAATATTTAAGTCTTTTGGTATACTTTTAAGTGGTTCAAGAAATCGAAAATAAGATGGATAAATGTGATACCCAAATTGATCTAGTTAGTGGAGAGCCGCAATGCGATTCGCTTAGTTGATGGGATGATCTCTCGGCCAGATTATAATTTATTAGCCCGACTGGTTGTTGCTTGCCAAAAAGCTGCTTGCTTTTATCGGTGCTCGCATCTTTATCCATGACTTGGCACTTGCCTCGACTGGAATGGTAATCTCCTATCCGCCTGATGCTCGGGTGAAAGCATTATAATCGCATTTTACGTAAAAACGAAATTCAAATCGCACACGTTTTGCTTTTCTTTGACTCACACTCACACTACGCTGCCTGCCATTGCAAATGCCGAAAACGGATTTTTCTTTCACTTTCGAGAATGCCACACGCGACTGACCAGCACACCAGCACCACCTTAGGCAGAGACGACAGCAAATATTTTTATTTTTATTGCAACGCTCAATTTAACAAATTTCGAACAGGTGTCTGATGGCCCACACCGCAGTAACAGACGCCGCAAGACAGCGAACACGAGAGATATGTGAAAAACTGCATGCATGCGATCATTAAAAATTGTACATGTTTTACATTCGCTCGCACACATAGTAAACACCCACCATCGCTGCTTTATTTTGGCAATATCATTTTCTATATACACCTGCGATCAAAATAATAACGCAAAATATGCCACTCTTAAATCATACTATTTCCAAACAACTGACTCAAAAGCTCCCAAATGTTGAAATCAACTTTTTTGATGCATAAATTAAAATTTTTAAGTAATTTATTTGTTACTCGAGAGCAACATATTCATATATTCACATATTCGTTCCAAAATACGCAACGATTCTGATAGCTTGAAAGATAAATACTTTTCACAAAACCATACTTTTAATTGCTTTCCACCCACACCCAAAATGCATATCGATGGAATAAAAATATAACGCCTAGTTGTCACTTCCAATATTAATGTTTCTGAGCCCTGACAAAACCATGCTGTTTGTTTGTAAAATTGTATAATATATTGAAAATTATTAAGTTCTTCAATATCTTTTATCGCTTATGATATGATTTGATGACAAGGTCATTATCAAATCAATGACTAAAATATTTATTATATTCTCTGGACCTGCTACATTAAACGCGACTGTGAGAGTGCAGCGGCACAGACACGGTCGCGACAATAGAGCCACCACCGACACATTTGCCGGCAGCGTCACTTGTTTTTCCGGCTGCGCATGCGCCGCTGCCGTTTGCTAAATCTAAATTATGCGCGGCACAGTGAAAGTAGCGGCAGCAGCTTTTTGTTTGATTAGTGGAGAGTGTAGAGCGGTGTGTGGAGCGGAGCTTAAGCTACAGCTCTCCCGATCTCTGGTGGTACTGGTGGTGCCGCTCCTCTGTGGCCGCCCTTATGCAATGCACGCGTTTTTAAACGCCATGTAATCGCCGTGTAATTTGGCGCCGCAATTCCATATAAAAACTCTCACGCAGCCGCAAACGCAGACACTTCCTCATAGCTTAAAACGAGCCAAAAGAAAAAATAGCTTTTTGCCAATTTACAATTTATTTGCCACTGTTTTGGTTTCTGTTTTGGTTACTTGCGCTTGCGCAATAATTAATTTCAACATTTTTGGACTTTCGTTTTCGTTTGGCTCTGATTTGATTTCTTGTGTGTTTATATTTCGCTCTTTTTTCGCCTTTGTCACCGTGGGCGTCGCATAACTGTTTGCTTTTCTGCTCTGCGTTTTTATTTTTTATGGTCATATTTAAAATCCGCTCAAAACCGCTCACGCAATTCCGGCGTCATCGCTTTTGACCATTGTCACCGGGCCTTTGAACCGTTTAGTCTCAGGTGTTTCAATTTTTTTCGTTTTTTGTTTTTACTTTATTATTACTTTACTTTCTGGCTTTGTTTTATATAGTATTGTTTGAACTTGACATTGAATTTTCGGATTTAATTACACATTGTTTTTGTGTTGCATGGCGCTAAATGCTTTTCGAGTGATACATATTCCTATGCGGAAGTCATAACTTTAAAAAGGCCACAATAGTAACAGTTGGTCAAAAAATAGAGAGGGAATTGAGTGCAGCTTGCAGATTAGTTATTAAAAATGCCAACTTTGAGATTGGAATAAATATGACTCAGATGATAATAAACCATCAGTGGGTAGCTTAGAGAACGCCCAAACATTCCATTACCGCAATTAGCAAGCACACTCGGGGTCAAAATAATGGCAGTGTCTAAAGAAAATAACTGCAATTACAGTAAGTACGTTATTACACCATTTGGCTGTGGTTATAAATGACTTTAATTATTTTCATTTAAAGCCCATAAAAAACGGTTGGAATTTGCCTTTGTAACTGCTGTCCAAAATGTTTATAGACAATTGTTAAAGTCGTTATAAAATTTCTTAAATGAAGTATTGGAAACAGCAATTGATTTAAAAAGACTACAAAACCTCACACAAAGGGAAAAAGTAACTCAGCTAAAGGGAGTGAGGAGATAGATATATGTTGACAATTATAAAGCGTATTTGGCCAATTTGAAAAATGTCTCTAATTTCGATAGGTATAAATATACACAACAAAATTGCATTTATACTTCTGAAATCTTTAAAGATGGGCGCAGGACCCATTTTAAAATCGTAGTGGGCGATGGGGCTAGAGGGGGCGTGGCGCCGGCTAAAATAAACTCGCTGCGTAGGAAGCCAAAAATATGTGGGAAATCTTCACCTAGCTTTGAGTTTCTGAGATCTCAGCGTTCATACAGACAACAGACGGACAGACGGACAAGGACATGGCAGATCGACTCGGCTAGTGACCCGATCAAGAATATATAACTTTATGGGGTCGGAAACGCTTCCTTCTAGCTGTTACAATTTTGCAAATCTGATACCCTTTTACTCTACGAGTAACGGGTAAAATAAATATAATTTAATCATTTTAATTAGTAAATAAAATACGAAGTGCAATTTTCTTTAAGCAGGAATATTTTAGTTTTTATTTAGATAAAAACCATTATTTTCAAAATGTAATTATCTTGAAGCAGGGATATTTTATTTGTTAAATTAAGCAATAGATCAAATTAAGTATTTGGTAGTAAATTGTTTGAATATTCCTATGGAAGCCTTAAGATATAGTGGTCCGATCCGGCTCGCTCCGACATATGTACTACCTGCAATAGAAAGAAGACTTTCGGGAAAGTTTCATCGCGATAGCTTTAAAACTGAGAGACTAGTTCGCATAGAAACGGACAGACGGTCAGACGGACAGACGGACAAACGGACAGACGGACAGACAGACAGACGGACAGACGGACATGGCTAGATAGACTCGGCTATTGGTGCTGATCAAGAATATATATACTTTATGTGGTCGGAAACGTCTCCTTCACTGCGTTGCAGTTATAATACTGACTGAAATTATAATACCCTCTACAAGGGTATAAAAATGCTTTTAATCATTTTATTTAGTAAACCAAATTCGAAATGTAATTTCTTGAAGCAGTGACAGTTTATTTTTGGAATATTTTGATAAAAACCTATTCGATTTATGTACTAAGAACCCAGCTTCGACTTCTGGTAACTGTAGCTTAACGCTTGGCTAATCTGCCGGTCAGCCAGTCCACCTGCAATTATCGATACAGGGAACTGCAATTATCAATAGATGCACGCAATGCGTAGTGCATTGAATGTGTGGGAGGAAAAATGGGGAGGTGGCTGAGCCGAAGAAGATGCAACGACGGACTCTCGGAGTCCGGGGGCCTAATGTCAGACATTGAGCCGGGCTGTGGCAGCTCAGGCGTGGCATTATAATTAGCCAAGTTAACAAGCCAAGCATTGCAAAAACAACAAATCGCTCGCAGTGCAATCAACGAAACTGCAGCTTTCTCTATAAAAACCGAAAAAAAAACATCCACTTACTATCTATATCTTTTCGTATCTTATCTTACAGGCTCGCGAGGAACAGGCCCATCTGGAGATGAAGCATCGCAAGGAAGAGGACGACCTGTACCGAAAGTTCGCCAGCAAGCGGGCCGAGGAGGATCGCAAGATCCAGGACGAGTTCCAGGACGAGTGGGAGCGCGAGCTGCAGCGGCTGACGCACAAGTTCGAGAAGGAGCTGGCCACCTCACGGCGCAGCCGGGACGAGGCCAATATCCTGACGATGCGCCACGAGCAGCAGAAGGAGGACCTCGAAAAGAACATGACCCTGCGGCGCAGCAAGAAGAAGGAGAGCATCACCCGCAAGATGCTGGAGCACGAGCGGTACGAGACCGCCGCCCTGGTGGATCGCCAATCCAGCGAGATGCTGGAGCTGATCAGCGCCCGGCGATCGGAGTACATGCAGAGCGAGAGCATCTTCCTGGACGACGAGTTCAGCGAGGGCGCCGTACCTGTCGAGTATCCGCTCAATGCCCCGATTCCTGCTCCGCCGGCGGTCAGCAAGTTCCAGATCTACACCGATCCCGTGGAGTTCGAGGACGTCGATCGCATCGCCATCTCGGTGGCCCAGGAGGACCAAAAGACTTTCACCGACCTGGTGCGCCAGCTGGTTGGCCGCTGCACCACGGACATTGAGAAGGCCCGCACGATCTTCCGCTGGATCACGGTCAAGAACCTGAACGCCATGCACTTCGACGACGATTTGCGGGGCGACACGCCCATGGGTCTGCTGCGTGGCATCAAGTACGGTACGGAGAGCTATCATGTTCTGTTCAAGCGGCTCTGCAGCTACGCCGGTCTCCACTGCGTCGTCATCAAGGGATATTCGAAGAGCGCAGGCTACCAGCCGGGTGTCAAGTTCCAGGACTCCCGTTTCCGCAACTCCTGGAATGCGGTCTACGTGGCCGGCGCCTGGCGCTTCGTTCAGTGCAACTGGGGGGCCCGTCACCTGGTCAACGCCAAGGAGGCGCCCAAACAGGGACGCGGCAAGAACGACAGTCTGCGGTGAGTATTGATGCTCAAAGATATGGAATTCTGAAAGTTATTTATCAGTTCTAAGCAGGGACTGAAAATAACTGTTATTGTAAACTTTTCTTATCAAAAAAATCATGCACTTAGAAGAGTCCTAAAATTTTTTTAAATATAGCATTATTTTTGTTAGTTATTGTAGTTTAAGGCATTCGATCTTTTATGACCTTGATTTCCCTATATAAGATCTATTTCCTACAAAAAACTTTAATATTTCGGGAACGTTTTCCCGTTCGAATTTTAATTTTGTGCATTATCGTTTATAACACGAAATCCTCGAGGCAAACTTAAGTGTTTTATATAGTAATATTTATAGTTAGTTTTTGCTATCAAAATATAATATTCAAACCTAAGCAAATATTAATTTTCATGTCCTTTGCAGTTACGAATACGATGATCACTACTTTCTCACGGATCCGCGCGAATTCATATACGAGTTCTATCCTCTGCAGGAGGAATGGCAGCTGCTGAAGCGTCCCATTACTTTGCGGGAATTCGAGAATCTGCCCTTCGTCCGTTCGCTTTTCTTCCGCTACGGACTTCACTTTGCGGACGAGGGATATGGAGCTGTGGTGTTCACCGATGACACTGGAGCCGCCACCGTGCGCATCGCCATGCCCACGGATATGCAGAGCTGCCTGATCTTCCATTACAATCTCAAGTTTTACGACAGCGACGAGGAGCTCTCCTACGATGGGGTATCTTTAAAACGATTCGTGATGCAGTCGGTGATTGGGAACATCGTTGCCTTCCGAGTGCATGCTCCATGCTCTGGCGCCTTCTTGCTGGACATCTTTGCCAATGCGGTGACGCCGCAGGAGTACCTAACCGGCGAACCCATGAAGTTTAAGTCGGTGTGCAAGTTTAAGGTGGGTGTCGCTAGGAAATATTTGTAAGCAGGGTAAAGCCTTAAACAAGTTTAATCATAAGCCTTACGAAATGAAGAATGTAGATAACATGTAGATAAATTTATAGATATCTACACATTATTATTTCGTAAGGTTTTTTATTTGACTGAGTTTTTAAGGATGGTGTTAAGATTTATGGAACACTTCCTTATACAAGTTTAATCATAAGCCTTACGGAATGAAAAATGTAGATAACATGTAGATACATCAATAGATATCTACACATTTTTATTTCGTAATGTTTTTTATTTGATTGAGTTCTTAAGATTTAAGGAACCCTCTCTATTAGTCACACAGCTATTAACGTGCTACATAATTTCCAGATTTGCTGCGAGGAGCTGCAGACGGTGATGGTGCCACTGCCCGATTGCGCCAGTGGCGAGTGGGGGCCCACGAAGGCCACCCGGCTATTCGGACTCATACCCATCACGCATCAGGTGGGTTTGATTGGTTATTTCGCCGGGTGATTTGATTCGAGTGCCCTGTTTGCTTTCAGGATCCGCTTATCTTCGCCGGACGCAGCCTGGACCTGCAATTCCGCATGTCGCGTCCGCTGACAGATTTTATGGCCACGCTGCACAAGAATGGCATCGAGGAGAAGAAGCTGGCCAAGTATGTGACTCACAGCACGCTGGACGACATTGTCACGTTCATCATTAAGTGAGTGCACAGGGAAATGGAAAATTTAATGGGCTCTCATTCCAATCAACCTTTTCCCCTCTCCGCAGCTTCCCTGAGGAGGGTCAGTATGGTCTGGACATATACACGCGTGAATTGGGCGCCCCTCAGCACCATCATCACCACAACAATAACAACTCCTCATCCTCGTCCGGCGAGAAACATTTGTTGACGCACTGCTGTAAATATTTAATCAACTCGTCCAAGCGGAATTAAGTCGGTTGAGTGGACCGGACGCTGGGATGGTTTCCTCGTCGCGTCCAAGGAGGCGGAGCCACTCTGCGCAAACACAAACAAAATGCAATATTAATTATAGTCTTCACTTAAGTGGAAACCTAACAAACGTTTACCACATCACAAAATCCATTATGCAGGTGCTAAAAGAAAGGAAAAATCAAAAGCAATCCAGCAATCTGGCCAATCACGGCTTAATCTGATCACGATGAACACTGATAATGAACGATAATTTTGCTCAACCATTCGGCAAGTCGGCATTCGGAACTTGTAAATACTCTAGACTCTAATCATTAGACCTAAAAGATGCCTAGTAATACCAACCCTAAAATCAGCTCTTAATTAATTTGTACATCTACTGAATAATGCTTAATAATTTATTACATAAACGCAACGTTGCCCCTTTATGCATGAACTTTATATTATACATATAAATATATATATTACTTTGATTTAAAATGTTTAATGTTTTTGTTTAAGCGTTCATAATGTGTGAATAAAACCTTATTATACAAATATCCGTACCCCCAAACCGACAAATTGCGCAACTCCGAGTGGATCAAGTTTATGTATACTTTATTTGTTCATTCTTCTTATCATACAGAGTTTTAAGGTTGACTTTCCCCCAAGTAGCAAACTGGTGGCGGGGGGAGAATGAGGGGTGTTGCATGGGCTAATGGGGGGAGGGGGCGATTCTGTTCCAGTTCCTTATCCTTTTTTGGGGCATTTTCACTTAAAGTTAGAGAAGAAATACATAAATTTCTTTCGTATTTGGAGGATGCTCTCTCGCTCTGGGCTTTCGCGCCAGTTCTTCTTTTTAGTAAATTTAATTTTAAACGTGAAACGCAGCACTTCTCGATGGTTATTGTAGTTGTTGTTGTTGTTGCCGATGGTGTTGCTATTGCTGTTGTAGCTGTTCGTTCAAGTTGTTGCCCACTTAAATGTTCCGCCTGCCATTCTCGTGTACGCTGCAATGAGAAGAGTCGCCGAGGCAGGATGGCAGCGAGCCAAAGGAAAACATAATTAATGAACTTTTTAATGAACAGCAGATACAGCTGAATGAATGTGGGCGGGGTTGGTGTGTTGATGGAATGATAGTGGGGGGATTTCGTTTCGGGAGGGGCACAGTTATTCGCGATGGATGCTTTTATTGAGTGCGACAGGTATGGTAATCGAGCTGGGACTTTCCAATGCCGTGTTGTTTAGTTTTATTAGCCAGTAGTTGTTAACCATCGATAGAATGAAGAGCACAAATGCACGCCGTAAGAAGACAAGGGATTTATTGTTATTACCAAAGACCAAACAACAAAATCACTAGTCTTCCATACGGAATGCACTCCCAGGAGAGCCAATCGGTTAGTTATTGTTGAGTTTGGATGGAGTTACGATCAAGCACTTAACTTAACACTTAACACGCCGTATTCCAAATTAATTACGCGCTGCCTTTGGTCGGGTATACATAGGTTTCTTGTGTTATGTGTGGGGTGGTTAGTCAAATGAGAAGGAGTGCATACTTCTTAGTCTGATTGCGACACCAACCTCTGTTGCAGCAGATACTGGGCCATTTGTATTTGCTTGGGCGTGCCCGAGATGGTGATGATGCGATCGTTCGAGTTGGGCAGGGGCTCGTCGATGGTGATGTATGCACTGGACTCGTTGCGAATGCGACGAATGCGGCCGCCTCCCTTGCCAATAATGGCACCAGCCAGCTAAAAATGTTAATACAAATTAATAAAAATTCTATAGACAAAATCAGTACACGATAAAACCACTCACCTCCTTTGGAATGGTGACCTGTGTGCTGTTGTTGGGATCATGACCCTGTGGCACATTCGCAGCAGCATTGGGGCTGCCATTGGGACCACCATTAGCGCCACCGCCTGCATTGAATCCTCCGGCTCCATTAGCACCACCCAGGGCTCCAATGCCTCCGTTATTAGCACTGCCGCCGCTCAATCCGTTGCCCAAGCCGCCGGCTCCACCGGGATTCTGGCCAAAGCTGCTCAAGCTGGGAAGGCTGCTGGTGCCACCCTGGTTCTGGCTAAAGCTGCCCAGGCTTGGTAGGGTATTGCTGCCCTGGGTCTGGCCAAAGTTGCCGGAGTTGCCGCCAAAGTCACTGGGTCCGCCGCCAAAGCCATTGTTGCCAAAGCTGCCGCCACCAAAGGGTCCGCCAGCTCCTCCGCCGAAACTGTTGCCGGCAAATCCGCCAGCTCCACCACCGGTGTTGCCAAAACCATCGACATCGCCGCCTCCACCGTTGGCCCACGGATTGATGAACGGATTGTCGCGCTGTCCCATTCCAGCACCTGCAGCGGCTCCACCAGCGGCACCGCCGAAGCGATCAGTACCGCCACGTCCGCCGGCATTGCCGCGGGCGCCGCCAGCACTGAATCCCCCGCCCCCATTGCCACCGGCTGCTCCGCCGGCGGCACCACCAGCGCCTCCACCGCCATTACGATTGTTGCCCCGCTGACTGGGTCGGGTGCTTCCGCTTCCGGTTCCATAGCCGCCATACTCATCTGCGTAGACGCGGTCAAAGTTCATCGGGTCATAGTTGTGTATGGCGCCCTTGATGGGAGTGTCCCGGGTGAGGGTGATCACCTCGCGCACCGCATCGATAACCTGGCTCTGCTTGCCCACGGTCTGCACCACGCGATCCGTGCTCTGCGGCGCCACATTCGAGAAGACCTTCAGGAAGCGGCAGCCAATGCGCTGTAAAATGGAAGAAAAATATACGTTAGTTTTCTGTTAAAAAATGTGTAACCCAAGCTCCTTAAATTTGAAGAGGAAATCACGTTTTTCATACACTCATATAAAAAATCGAAGAATTTTCTTAAAAACTAGAAAATTCTTTCTTAGATTTCCTTTATCTAGAAAGGTTTTCTATATACAAAGGCAAATTTTCTAAAAACAAGAAATTTTTTTTTTATTTTCAAAGGTATTTTGAATTAATGACGAGATTTCTAAAATTTAGAAATTCATTTTTATGAGTGTACCAATATATATTTCTGATTTTAAGGGGATTCGTTTCAGGTTCTTTTCACTTGTTCATTTTCTGTGAAACAGATTTTCAATGATTGCCAACTATTCCCAGAAATTCCCTGGAAAAGTCTTGGGAAAAGAGCCCAAAGCAATTTCTCATGGCTGCCATTTTGAGAAATCCCTGTGTGTAGTCCTTTGGCCAAGTGCCGCCTGTGTTTTCCCAGAATTTAGAACAAAAGGACACACACGGAGTATGGCAAATCCTGGTCAAGGTCCATTGAGAGCCGAGTCTAAATCAATTTGGCCATGACACTGCCCCTGGGTCCTGACCCGAAACTCTTCGCATGTGTGTGTGTTTGTGTCCTGCATCCTGGCTCAGCGGGCAATGGCTCCTAATCAGCATGAAGCCACGACGGCAGATGTTGGACATAGTTTCTACCTGCGATTCGGGGCAGCTGTCTGCTCTGCATGTAAAGTGGCAGGAAGTGCTTGTTTCCCCCCTATCTGATGATATCCTCCTCTCTCTCTGATATCTCCGTCTCCTCCTCCCTTCCTTTACCCTGTTTCTGCGGCGGAAGTGTAAATGGGAAATTTGATAGCCACTTAAGAGGGGACGCCGAACAAGAGGCTTGCACTGTGATTTCCGAGCGAGCGAGTGAGTGAGTGTGTGTGTGTTTGGAGGCCCGCTTCCGCTTCAGTTCCCCCCTCGATTCCCCTGGGCCTTGTGCTCCACTCGTCAATGTCCCCTGTCGCCTGCCTGCCTGCGTTTCCCATTTTTATTTGTGACCGCCCGCTTGATGATTGCATCATTCCTAAGCCCATTGCGTGCTGTGTGAGTATGGTGTGGCAATGACCAAAGGCTGCGTCATGTTGCTCCCTGTTCGTCCTCCTCCTCCTCCCTCTCCCAGGCGACAAAACTCGTTGCGTGTGCTCCAGACAACAATGGCGACATCAAAATTCTGAAGTATACCCGCCCCTCCGGCCGCCTTTTGCCCCACAAATGGGGCCTGCTCAATGGCCAGGGGAAAAGCGTTGAGTCACACACAGCCGTAGTGTATAAACACACACGGGACGACGACCGAGTGTTCCATGTCAGTGGTCGGTCAGTGAATCAAAAATTATTAAATTTAAACATGACAACAGAACGGATAGACGACTGTTGTGTGCGTGCGGATCTTGAAATGTAGCATACTTTTGGTCTCCTCACGAAATGCGAATATTATGTAAAAAGCTAAAACTAATGGCTTGGCTATAAAAAAGGAAGCTACCACCAGCTCTCTCACAGTCCGAAACATAAACATTCATTATTTTAATATTTTTGGCGCCCACTGGGGGGTCACTTGAATTTCCCCAATCAGGCGCTTGGTGGCGCCAGTAAGCTAAATAGTGGTTTAAGCGGATATTTAACTTTGCTGAGCTTATGATATTAAGTGTTAGTTTTATTTCACCAGTAGTTGTAATATTTCCTAGTGTTTAAATAACACTTTGTTCAATACCTTTTTTTAAACTATCCACTTTAATCGCGCACATTTTCACACTGTACTTTTCGTATGTACTTCGGTTTAGTTGTGATATATTTATTTTGAACTTATTTAGTTTTTTGTCTGCGAGACTAAGGACTCGGGATGCGAAAGCAGGAACAGGAGCAGGAGCAGGAGCTGGAGCCCGGTGACCGTTCCCGACCAGTGCCAATGTCGAACTAATTGGGTTCAACGATTGCCAGTTGCCATGTAAGGAGACGAAGACGCAGGCAGAGAGAAAAAAATGAAAACACTCGTACACAACCATAGAGCCATGAAAGGCAGAAAGGAATACACATATATATATATAGACAGGAATACACGCACACGCAGAGGAAAGAGAGCTGCGGCAGAGGCCTCTCTGCTTCTTTCCTTCGTCCTGCGGCTGTGGCATTTGTTGTTCCTGTTGTTGTTGTTGTTTGTGTCACGGCAGGCCAAAAAGGAAACGCAGGCTGCTGGGACAGCTGCTGCTCAGCTCCCGCTGGCAGCGAAACGGAACCGGTGTATTTTTCAGCTCTCTTCATTTTCAAAAAAAAAAAAAAACCTAGAGAGGAAACTATCTTAGAATATACGAAGGTTGCATACCCTTGTTCTTTAAATTTAGTACATCTTCATCAGATAACTTAAAATTAAAATGATGCCAAAAACAGTCTTTCAATCTTAATCGAACTCCATCGCGATGCAACCAACAATGATAAAGTAAAGGTATTAAAGGTATCCGAGAATATATAATTTTAAAAATATCTTCATAAATATTTGTTTTAAACCATGACAGAACTAGAAACGACTTCTTAAAAAACTCCCAAAAAACTATTCCTTATATTATGGTTTCCATACTAAACAAAGTTAGGAATTCTATTAAAGATATAAACTTTCAAATACCTCAACAAAACTATAGCACCCTCTGATAAGGTATGGAAACTTAAATTTTTTTCAAAACGCATGCGCAGATGGGAAAGAATAAATAAAACGAAAGCAAATGTTTTGAGCATAATCCAACAACACTACATAACTCTGTACATATGTGTGTTGGCAAGTCGTGAGAGGAAATAAGGGCAACCATTAAACAACAAATTGCCTACGATTGATATGCAGGAAAAAAAATGGGATCAAATCATATATGCAGCAGCATCTAGGACATTCGGGAAGCTCTTCCATTAGGGGATTTTAGCGAGCTTACTAATGCGCTTAAGATCTGCCAGAAGAAGTGGCTCCAGATAGACAGATAGCGGGAGCTCTTCTCAAGAGGATGGCTCTGCGAATGGCAATCAAAATTCACTTACGACGACTGCAATTAAAAAACTTTTACATTCTTATGCACACACGGAAAGACAAGCAAACCAAAAGAGGAAACGAACTTAATTGGAGTACAGTTCATAGCCGTAAGGACAAACCACATCGTATCAGTTACCTAGACTACTCAGTTTTTAAGTTTTAACTTAAAGCGAATTTACCTACAAGAAAATCAGTATATTTTTTAAAAATTTAGGATGAACAGAATGTAAATGTCTTGAAAAACTATTAAACTAGTGTTCAAAAAGCTGTCAAGGCAAGCAAAACGGAAGGAAGCATCAAACTACTTATTTGATGCTCAGCACATCGGCGCAAAATGAACCGGATATTGACGAAATTCCACTGCCTCCGCTGCTGCTCTCCATGCGCCCCGCGAAAAGTTCCCTCTATAAACTTATTAATCAAATGATCAAAGGGAGCCAAACCCAAACCCAAGCGACAACTCGCGCTGGCTGGAGAAATAAAAAAAATTATCAGGAAACCAGATGTCGCTGCCAGGACTCGTCGTTCGTTCCTCAGCTGCCGCAATCCAAGGAAAGACTACAAAAAGGGTGCCCTTTCTTAACATTTTCTAGGAGCATTCAAGGTTGTGGTAGGTACTCGTTTTTTAATGTCATTATCTTTTAAATTGAATTTCGTGAAAACGAAGTGGAATTTAATGCCCTAATTTAGCTGAATTTCAAGGTCGAAATTGAGATGGGGAGAAGGTAAGGAAATATGAAATAAATATTAGTGTTTGTTAAGATTTTTGAATACATTGGTATAAAAAATCCCCAATTCATAAATTATCATATTAAGTATTTTGTAGATATTTTAAATATTGGAGTACTGTCAATATCAATATCCCTAAAATTAGTTCTGAAATAGGCCTGTACGCTAAACATTTCAGTTCTTCAAGCAGCTAAAATCGGAAGAAAAGAGAAAGAAGCACCCTATATTCCCATATATCCTGCTGCTGCGTGGTATGTTATACGTGTGTAGGTAGCACCTGTTTGGCATTCATTAAGACGAACGGCAAGCAAGCAACAAATGTAAGCCGCAGGCAGCAAGACGGCAAAGGCAGAGCAGGCAAAAGGGGCTGGAACAAAAGCCAATGGCACGCTCAATCCTCAAATGCATTTTAGGGCATTTTGGATTTACGCACACACACAATGGATAGCGGCTGCAGGATCGGATCAGCCCGGTGGAGTCGAAGTAGAAGCAGCTGTCGCTCATTATTATAAGACCCTGACAGATGCCTCTCCTGCCTCCTTGGCACAGGACAACATTTTAATGGGCAGCAATAAGAAACATGAAACATTTGTCTATGAACCGTGAGGTTCGGTCCTATAAATATAGACCTATCTTATATATGGGAAACACATGTCCAAGGAATGCGACAATCTTGGCGCTCAATTGGGGGCTGGAAAATGTATTAAAAATAATCTAATCCAAGCGAAAGGCATACCAGCAGTAGAACTCCCTTTTGGGGAAACGAAATAAAACATAAAGATAGATCTTGGCCCGGGGAAGTAATTATGATAACCCCAAGCGATGAGCACAGGAAAACCGGCTTTGGCAGAAAGTCAGAGCGGGAAACGGCAGAAGGATGATGGCAAATGGCCCAGCGAGTGGAGAGGAAACAGCTGCTGGCAGGGCCAGTTGTTGCCACTGCCGCAACAAAGAAGACAGTAAAGTAACTTCCCTTTTCCTTCAGCCAAGACAAGACAAGAAAAAAAAAGAAGGCAAGAAAAAAGGTAAAAGACAAACAAACACATGCTAGTCGGGGGCAAGCTGAGGATTCTGTTCCATTCCTAATCATCTGCTGTGACCATCAAAGCGGCAGACGGCAGCTGCAAGGATGCTGCTGAGCAGCGAGTCTCGTCTAAGAAACTCATAATAACAAAACAGCAACTCAAGCGACGGAAAGGAGGACAAGATGCTGTTGGAATATACAGAGACGTAAGCTTTTTGTTTGCGCCGCGGACTCGTTGACCTCCATAAAAAACACAGAGCGGCGGAGTGGGGGAAAAATATGAATATGCAAGAGCCTGGCTGCCACTGCCACCATATTATATGCACCTCCAAAGGCGAAAGTGGGTCGTAGCAGGACATCATTCCAATTAAAAGGCCGCCCCACTCATCGCTAATTAATGAGCCAGGACGAACTGCTCCCAGGTGCGAGAAAACCCGTGCTTGCCAATTGATTCACTCGGGCGCACAAGTCTCACATTGCAAATTGCGCAATTGAAAAGCGTTTGGCGTGCCCGGGATCCATTTTCAACCCTCCATATCACCACCTGCCGTTCGGAATTCCGGTGAAGAAGAGGCTGGGCTGAAGTGACAAGTGCGTTATGAAAGCCTTGGCACAGACGTCAGCAACAGATTCCCTCCACCACCCAACAACCAACTGAACGCCATTCCGAATCGTCCTCTCATCGATGGAAATGCATTCTACTGTCGCTGTCAGGGAGCCAGGAGAACTATGCGAAGCCCGGAGGAGTTGGAGGCCAGGATGAAGGAGCAACGTACATAACTCGTACAAAGTTTTCGATTTAACCAAGCGCAAAGTTATGTTGACGGGTTTCAGCTTCACGGGACTACTGCCGCAACCGTTCGCTATCGTCAAAAACATGTCACAAATTCCCACTAACTATGCGGGCTTCCTCACGTCCAAACCGGCATCTCCTGGTGTATATGTATATACTTCCTCCCCCCTCTACGTTCCCACTAGTCGGCCATAATAAGCCCAATTAAGTTAGCCTTCATTCGTCATGGCTGGCTGGCCATGTCAGTTGACCGCAGGACACTGGTGTAATACTGGGATGGATGATAGGTCGTGTGAACGCCGCACATGCAAAGGCGGCGCACAACTGGGAATTACATCAGGAATAGCGGAAATACTTGAGCTAAATATGTAATCAGCAGGAGCCTTGGGAGCGGGGCATCAATATGTGACAAGCCGAGTGATACGCGCTCCTTGTCCCCTGTCTATTGCCTGTTGTTTTTTCCCACAGCAAAGTATTGCTTCTGACCTCAATTTAATAATTGGCTCAAATGGAAATAATATGATAGATAATTATTACATAATAATTAGGGCTATGCAGGAAAAATGTCTCTAAATATTCCCCACAAAAAATCGATTGGTAAATTTAACCAATATAATAAATGGTCCATAACCACTGAATTGTCAATTCTAACTATCAAATAGTTACCCTCACAACACACACAACTGACTATTTTATCGTAGTTTTACCATTAAACAGTACCCAAAGGAAAAACAAAATACACGTTACTATTTTTAATGGTATAGTACTTTTTTATAGTTACGTAACTATTCGTATAGGTTAATTTTACTAATCAAGTTTTTTTTTGTGTAGTTAATAACTACTAGTTAGACTATGTTTAAAGCCCTCAAACTACTGAGTAACGTAGCTTTAAATTAAAACTGGCATGACTAATTCACATCAACACATTGGCATGTTACAGATAAGCCCACTTTAATGTGAAAACCTAGTACCAAGGGGTTGACTAAGTCAGATTACACTAGTTTACAGCCGAAATGCTCCCCAGCAATTGATGGCAAATTCTGTTAGTTTTAGACCCCTAGATCACGAAAATAGCACTAATTTTTTTTTCGATGGCACAGTTTTTTTTTAAAGATTTTTTAAAGTTTGAAATGTTAAATTTCGGACTTTTTTCGAATTTCTTCTTATATCTCGGCAGATATCCACTCGGTTGAGCCAGTTTTAGTTTTATTTTAAAGTCAATAGATCAGAGCTTAACTTTCCATACAGATCAATATGATTGGATGAGTAATGGCAGCGCAGAAGCTTGACAAAGATGAAAATGTGTTTTTAGGTCGACTGTAAGTCGGCTGTATATATCGTAAAAACTCGAAATAAATCCGTTGAAAAATCATAATGGGTACAAACTTAAAGTTTAGATCCTACCGAATAAAACAAACCGAATATGGCCCAAATCCAAAAAATGATTTTTTGGTGGTTTTTAAAGTTCGGATTTTTCTACTTTTTCGGATGACAGAGTCCAAATTTAAGATTTATCATAGGCGGCGACATGTAAACAAAAATAATTGGTGTTGGCAGCCGGGTCACTAAATAGCTAAATCAGATTTTTAAAAGCTAGAAAATTATTAAAGTGAATTTAATTTTTTATAAGAATGAATTATCCAAATGGATAGTACTTAATTAAAAATACTCACAGTCATAACGCAAGCAATTTTATGTTTTAAAGGAATTTTCAGAACTTAAATTTATTTTATAATTTTCTAGCTTTTAAATTTAGCTATTTTTTGACCCGGCTGCCATCACCACTCATTTTTGTTTACATGTCGCCGCCTATGATAAATCTTAAATTTGGACTTTGTCAATCGAAAAAAGTGGAAAAATCCGAACTTTAAAAATCCACCATAAATCCAGTTTTCCATGGATTTGGGCCATATCCGGCTTGTTTTATTAGGTAGGATGTAAACTTTAAGTTTGTAACCATTATGATTTTTCAACGGATTTATTTCGAGTTTTTACGATATATACAGCCGACTTACAGTCGACCTAAAAACACATTTTTCATCTTTGTCGAGCTTCTGCGCTGCCATTACTTATTCAATCATATTGATCTGTATGGCAAAGTTAAACTCTGATCTATTGACTTTAAAATAAAACTAAAACTGGCCCAATCGAGTGGATATCTGCCGAGATATAAGAAGAAATTCGAAAAAGTCAGAAATTTAACATTTCAAACTTTAAAAATCTTTAAAAAAAAAACTGTGCCATCGAAAAAAATAATGCTATTTTCGTAGTCTAGAGGTCCAACACTAACAGAATTTGCCATCAATTGCTGGGGAGCACACCAAGAATATTATTTTGTAAACTAGTGTTATGATTCCTCTTTATGGTTCTTATCGCACTAAAGCATTAAACTAATTTATGGAAATGGAATTACATTTAGTTACTCACATCGCGTATCTCCTTGATCTTTTGTCCACCTTTGCCAATGACGCATCCGGCCAAGCTCTGATGGATGAGTAGACGCACATCAAAGTCCTCGTCGCGCTGGGCGGACAAAATAAAAGTGGGTTATCAGTAGGTATCGCTATAAACATAGCGCCATGCGAGCCACTTACCTCCTCAAAGTATTTCAGCATTTCGGTGATTATCTCCAAAGTGGACTCTATATCCGCCGATATTTGGATGGTTCTGTTCGAGCGGTTAAACGTGCATAGAAATTGGTTTGTTTTTTATATAGTGAGAGTTGGCGAAAAAAGAGAAAGAAGTGAGGGGAAAACGCATATTAGAATAGAACATTAACTGGAAATTATTTTAGGTCTAGACATTGTGTTCTTTTTATATATTTTCTTTTGTTTATTTCGGGAGGACCATAGAACAAACTTTGGTAGAGAGTTTTTCGGTGAGATAGAGAGAACAAGAGGGCGAGCAAGTGAGATTCAGTCCCTGTTGCCATGTATCAAACAACAATACCACACAAGGACACACAAGACGCTTGCTGGGAATTCGATGTGGACAAATGGATGATCTCAGGCCAGCGGATCGGCTCTTGGCTCTTAGCTCTTGGCTGATTTCAGATTAGAGTTCGGTGGAAAGATACCATAGGCCGTGCATTTTGGGATGGGTTAATCGGGGTACTTGCGGTGCATTGCGGATTAGTATGCGATTAGGATTCGGATTAGCCATAGAGCGAGTTCGAGACCGAGCTGGTTATAAATTGTGGCAAGCTTGGTTGCAAAACTACTACAGATACGGATCACAGATCGGGACACCTAGTGCCTGTTCTTGGGATAAGGAGACACATCACAATGATCATGTAATATATTTATAGATGGGTACAACTAGCGCATACAGGACATACAGAGAGAGAGAGAGTTCTAAATGGGCTAAGGCTATGGCTAAGGCTAGGGCTTTAAAACCGAGTCCCACTCGGTAAGGTGCCTTCGAATCCACACACAATATACGAGAGTTTAGGATATATGCATTGGAGAGATGCGGTTATAATCTAGTAATTGGTAAAAGGATAAAGATTTGTTGTGGTTTACCGTTCGGGGCCTTGGGAATCGTCGACAGACACAGTGGCTTTATACTGTGCCCCACATTATTCACACATTTTTGGAGACACGGGCGGGCAGGCAGGCGGGCGGTTGATGGGCGGGCGGACGGGCGGTCGGGCGTTCGGTTTCAGTTTTCGGTCGATGGGCGGGCGGGCAATCAGACAGGCGGGCGGGCGGTTGGTCGATGGACGGGCGATTTAGTATTTTTTTTTATTGGTTGATTAATTCGCCGTTTCGGTTTTCATATACATATATAAAGAGGTATTTCACACAGGGAGGGGGAGGGCACCCACACAGATACAAACCCACATGGCACATGGAAATGGGGATTCGTAGGCGTATGTATACAGATATTATAGAATATATATAGGCGTTTATAGCCAAATTTTGTAGCATAGTGCACGGCAACAGGGGGTGCAAATTGATTCAATTCGAGTTCGAGTTCGGGTTCAAGTTCGGATTCAGATTCAGATTCGGATTCAGATTCGGGTTTCGACATCGGGCCAGGCCAGTTTCAGTTTCAGATTCAGATACGGATACAGATTTTGATCCGAGATTACCCAGGACATATAGACCAGAGACCATGGACCAGCGGTGCAGAGTGATGGTGCGGGCGGGCGGGCGATTATTGGTTGGTTGGAGGTTCGGTTCGATTCGATTCGATCGATAAAGTTCGGTTCGATTCAGATGAGCGGTTGAAGATTTTTGTTGGGCGTGCGAACCGACGACAGTTTGGTTTATTTTTTTGATTTTGATTTTTGGTTTGTTCAAATCGAAATCGATTTGTTGGTTACATATGGGGTGTACGCAAGAATAGAGAGAGAGAAGAGAGAGAGAGAGAAAATTGTTCATTTAGTTAAAAAGGTTAATTAGCGGTGTAAATTTATCGTTTTATTTTCATGTTGTTCTTATTGAGTTATACAAAAAACTGAATTTTTGTCCAGGTTTTGATTAAATAAAGCGCCTGTAGTATATATTACATATTGCATCCAAGCCTGATGTATTTTTATATTCCCCTAAGATTGGTTTTTATTTTCGAAATTTTTGACTTTTTGAGTAACGAAACGATAAATAAAGAGAAACAGAGATTCGAAAAACGGTAGCCAAACAGAGAAAGTGAGAGATAGAATGAGAGAAAGAGAGCGTTAGCTGAGTGCAAGGACCCGGAGTTAGTGAGAAGCGTGTTGATCGTCGACTTGGTTTTCGATTTCTCGAGGACATCCGCCACAGATCGAGATAGAGATATAGTGGGGAAGAGAGAAAGAGAGAAGGGGAAGTTGGGGGACCGAGAGACAAGACAGGGTGCTCTATGGACTCGGTGTTGGTTTCGGTTTTTGGGGATTTCCACTGCTCGAATTTGAGCTGGAGAATTGGACGGCTGCCAGAGACAAAGTCGAGAGAATTGAGATAGAGGTGGAGAGAGTGGGAGACAGAGAGTTCGCCAGAGAGACACACAAGGACAGAGGCAGACGTTTCGGGATTCACTGGGGGGGACATGGATTCGATTTGGTTATTTTCGCTTGTAAGTTTCTAATTTGTGGTGCAACAAATAAAACATAATTGTAAATAATACTAGACGCTTCAATAGTGAATTATGCAGTTTGTTTGTATGTCTATCTTTTTTGTTTTTTATGGTGACTATGGGGTTTATGTGTTTATAGTACCTGAGTCCTCATCTTCTGGATGTGCTGTCCTCCTTTGCCAATCACTGCGCCAGCAATCTGTGGAGGAACAAAAAAGAAAAATAATAGTTCGGGGCTCGTTAATTATAGGTATTAAATGTGAGTGCTTAATTTATTCATTGCCAACACACTTACACTGCTGGGAATCAGTATGCGTACGGTCTCCTCGTTGCGGCGGTTGCGCTTCTGGTCCTGTGGTCCCTCCCCTGCATCGTTCATTTCACGCTTCATTCTCAGTCTCTCTGCAATCGGAAAAGCGGAATTCGAAACACGATTAATCTCGCAATTGTTTAGCCAACTATGTTGATCTTTGGCCAGTTTCGGTTCAACTGACACATAAAATCGAACTGCCACTGCCTCGAGTCAACAAATCTCGGCAGTTGTAAAGCATTGTGGGTCGAACAGAGTTGTCACTTGAGCTACTGAGCAAATCTGGCTTTAACTTATCATTATATTTCATAAGCTGAAAATCTATTAAAACTGAATTGATTGATCTTCAAGATAATATTTGTATATAAACATAAAAAATGTTTATATTGAAAACGCTTCCGACGAGATAATAATATTGAAAACAATATTTTAAAAAGTGATAATTTTTAAGAAACTTAGTACCAATTTTTTTTTTTAAAACACTTAAAATAGTTTTTAAGTTTTATCACAATTAATAAAAAATCATTAAGGGTGTAATAAAAAAACAAAAGCTTTATGAAACAACCCCATACTAGCGGTTTATAAATTTCCTTTTAAAGAATTGCCATCACTGATTAACAGATTCAGACAAGGCATGAGGTGAGTCGCAGGTTTGATGTCGTTTTTTGCCCACCGCAATTGAATAACAATTTAATTCAGTTTCCATTTCAGAGCTAAGCTCAGAGTCGACCCGATCTGGTTCGTGCCGCAGCTGCACTTGACTGCGATTCATCTAACAGCCCCGCGTTGCACTTCCAATCTGGGTGGCATCAATCATCAAGTATACGCCCTGTGCCTCACAAGCCCCCGAAAGCCCAGAAAGCGGAAATGCCAGACAACCAACGCTCAAACGAAACCCATATATATTATTTCTATAAAAATATTAATGCATAGCACTGCATATATGATTTATATACAAATGTTTGCATAAATAAGCAAACCAGCAGCATGTGCAATAACAATACAAAATGTAACGAAAAATTATAAATTTATAGAAAGGGAGCCCGGGGCAGTGGGTGAGAGTCTGGTACAACAATTGCGGGCCTTTGTGTGGAACGATCTGCCCACAACAATAAGATGAAATCCCTCGTTTTTTCCTGGCACTACAGGTTTTGTGTTGTACTCTAAAACTGAGTATCTCAACTATTCCAAAATGAATCCTGGCTTTTCTGACAAGCCTAGCCTTTATATAATGAAAATTACTATATTTAGGACATTTAGTTATTATGTTTTTAACATGATAAAATCTGTATAAAATTTACCATGTTTCAGTAAGTATATCATTTTTAAAAGCAAAATGTTTATAATTCCTATATTAACTAAATACGTAATACAAATTGTAGAGTATTTTTACATCGATGAATCAAACTCAGTTCAGCTTTTGTTTTATATTTCGTGGTTTCACATGTCAAAACGTCAATTGTCCAAGCTGCTGTGGCTGCTGTTAAGTTGTCAAAAATCTGTTCAGTATAACAATAAACAAACAGCGGCGACGGAAGATTAAATGAATTTTTTTGAGGGCCCAAGAGGAGGCTCTAAAATTGACTCGGCTTGAAATTGAAATTGTTGAGCGATGAAGTACAGGTGGTGTGTTAAATTATGTGGTGTGCGCGTGGGAAGAGCTTAAGAAAGGGTAGCCACCTCTCGAATTCGAGGTCTTTGGATGGTGATGCAATTGAATATTGCTAGAATTTGCCCAGCGGACTGGAAATCTTTTTCGTAAGCGGTTGTCTGCTAAAGTTAAATTGGACTTGAAAAGGGGAATTCTACGAAGAAATAAATTATTTTCTTTCAACTTTCTAACAGCTCGCGAATAGCAACGTAATATTTTGTTTTATTTAAAAAAGAAAAAAATATAAAATTGGGCACTTTTTAAAATAGGATAGTATTTCGTTTATCACCAATTTACCTTTTTATTTTTTATAAAAATATCACAAGTTTCCACTAATTTTATTTTATATTTGGCAAATATCTTATAGATTTTCTTTTCACATTCACAGACTTTTTCCAGTTATGTAACACTAGGGATCTAAAGATCCAACCAAGAGCAAGTGCAGAAAGCACCGCCCGAGAGTCCTGTACAAAAACTAATGAATACGATTTACCAGAACTGGGGCTATTTATACCGGAAAAGCCATATATTAATGCCTAAGGGCTGACCAATCGGAAGCTATAGGATCGCTATATGGACAGCGGAAATCGTCGACCAATAGAAATTGTACAAATCAAGTGACAATACTGAAAACAGGGGAAGTTACCGCTTTTGGACACCGGATGCTAGGCAACCAGGATAATTGTACTGGATTGACCATAACAGAAGCTCTATACGGACTATAGAATAGATAAGTTCCTATGTACGAATACCCTATATACCGATATACTATAATGGTATCATGGGGGGAAAATGCATTTTTTTATTGGAACTTTACATATGTGAAATATGGATTTATTATATAAAATTGGCTCCTCTCTAACCCCGACCAAAATGTGTGGGATATGTATATATTATATAGACCCACAAATTGTATGGTCATTTTCTGTACATATGTGGGGCTGGGTAATGAATTTTAAGTTCGACATTAGACTAATAACCAGGGGTTCGAAATGGGCACAAGAAGTGCAGTTTTCTTGCAGCTATATGCCGTTCCTATGGAACTTCAGCTGATGTTTTCCCATTATGCATATTTCAAAGGCTAAGTAAACGGATCATCAAAGGAGTGAGCTATAGCAAAGTTGGGGCAAAATGAGGCGGAATCCGTTTGTCTAAGATAGCAAATCGTTTAACTATTGATAGAGCAATCGCCATATAGGGTCCCCCGACTAAATGCCTGTGAAATGCAACAAATTGCGCTGACCTGGACAAATATCATTATGGGGGCGGCCCACCATATTGCCGATGACGTGGCTTTAGACAGGGCGTTCATTATACCAAGGGTTCCACTGACGCATATGCATTATTCAGGCAAATTGCAATAATTTTAAAACTCCACCGTCCTTTCAAGATGAACTCCCCCAAGACATACGTGTTCCACATAAAGAATGGGGACACCCGATCTAATAACTAATGAAACTCTGGGAGTATTAACAGTTGTTCCCAACGGGTTGGTAAACTAATTATAGGGTAATTTCTGTGACAGAGTTTGTAGACCATTGTAAATTGGAAATTCATAGACCGAAGGAGCAATTTAAGAGCGGAATTGGAGTGTAGATTGCTTGCGTCTTTAATATCACCTCTTTGATTGCAGTTTGCGGTCATATGGACGATAGAGCAACTTTTCCCAGCCAGAAATGACACAGCTTCCCAGGACCAAGGACTGCAAGTGAGGCACAGGGAAACAAAAAGAGAAAAGAAAGGGGAAGAAAGGAGAAAGTTAGGAAGGCTGTTCGCATTCCTGAAAGTGACATAAATGACAGGTAAGCAATTATGTGAAAATCATTTGATTGCTGTCCACATCCTGTTCAAATAGCTTTTGACAGCGCACACGCGTCCAACCAACCACCTAACCCACCTCCCTACAGCCCACCCACCCACCGCTCCACCCATCCCGGAGCCACAACAACAATAAAGGACAATAATTTAAGTTGGTCTCGGCCAGGTGAGCGCTTGAAACTTTTTTTTTCGTGCATGTATCCCCTCAGGCCAATACACTAATACGCAGGTGGGCTGGCTGACCACAAAAACGCAAACACAACAACTACAATGGCAGGAAAGAAAAACAAAATAAAGGCAAAAGGGGGCGGGGCGGCGAAAGGGGAACAGTTGGAGAGTTTATGTCCAGCGAGACGTGGCAAGCCACATGAAAACGCGGTTTGTGGCTACCCACCGAAAAGCAGGCGAAAAAAAAACAGGAAAGAAAGCTATTTTCAGCAATCGGAAGTTTAAATACCCTTCCTAATATAACAATAAAGATTTAAGATAAATTCCTTAAACCGATAGTTCCTAATAGGAACTTCCTGTAGCTGCATGCGATTTGTAAAAAATTATATTTTTAAATCGTAAAAAGAAGAGAAGAAGAAACAGCATTACAAACTGCTAACTGTAATTACATTATGGTCTTGCGGTTGTATAAATCCAAAAGAGCCGCATTATGTAAATATTTTAAGTCCTTTGCGTGACACTTATCAAAATCTAGCACACATATAATACATATAATAATTCTTTAAAATTGTTCAATTGCGAAATTCGTGAGTTACATATAAAAACAAATTATCTGAGTGTATACTCATAATAATATTTAGTTCGGGCAGAGAAATATGGCAATTTTCACTCATCAATTGATGCTGACCTGAAAAACGATTATAGATTTGGACATTTCAATTCTATCTGCTACATAGTTTTTAGCAGGGGGTAAAACGAAAAGTAAATATAATTGAATATTTTTTGTCGGTTTTATAACCTTTGTTTTTCTATAAGGTATTTAAGTTTTGAAGAGTGAACAGCGGAACCGATAATAAAGTGTCATCTTTATCTGTCTTGCATCGTCCCTATTTCTGCGATTATCACTTAAATAGAATAATGCCAAACCAATCTGTAGTAATTTGACAACTGTCAATTCAATATTCATGAGCTTAATCACAAAAAAAGAGTACAAAATTGTGAAGATGTAAAATTACAATAACCACGAACACTGGTAAGTGCTTATTTAATAGTTAAAGAGTTTGGCTTTGAATAACAACCAATTGTTATTTGTTTGCCAAATTTTCTATCCTAACCTATCTACAAATCCCAAAACTAAAACCAATTTTATTAGGAAAAATGACAAATATGAATATACGATTGGTATTTCTAGCAGTAATTTTAAATTTAAGGAAGTGCCATATAACAGTCGTGTCACGTTTGTATCTGTCACGTGTGTGTGTTCACGCCTAAAGTCGTCCTGTTTCCTGCGCCATGCTTTTTGCCAGCGTAATTGGGTGGTGGGTGTATGCGTTTCAACTCTATAATTTAGCGGAAAAACAGCTAATGGACGTCATGTCTAACCAAAAAAAAAAAAAAAAAAAAAAGAGCCCGCAACCAGAGGAAGGAATCAGGTTGAGGATATGGCCACAAAAGTTGGGGGCCATAAGCGGAAATGCATACAATTGACAATTCTCATCGCCCTCGCGCTGCGTGTGTATTTGTATGTCCTGTTTGTGCTCTGTGGCCTGTCCACTTCAAGGCTTTTATGGACATGTCAGCGTGCTTAGCGGGCAGACTGAACCCCCTCCCCCGCACCAACCTATCCCCCCATCGCGTGAGACCCTATAAATCGGGCGGAGGGGGTATAATGGGGAGTTCAGCTGGTCCCTGCGCTAATAACTAATGTGCTTATGGCGTGTGCCACCATGTAGTGGTTGCTGCTCTATCCCACAGTATTCTATTCTAGTCCATTCTATCCTGTGCTGTTGGGTTCTGTTCTGCCGTCCTGCTGGGTTCCCGGCCAACTTCCACATTCTGATTACTATAGTTCGACTTGTCTTTGGCTTCTACACGTAAAGAAATATATATGTTATTTATTTTTTTTTAGAAATATTTACATATTTAATGTAAGTTTTATTATACCCTTGTAGAGGGTATTATAATTTCAGTCAGATGTTTGCAACGCAGTGAAGGAGACGTTTCTAACCACATAAAGTATATATATTCTTGATCAGCACCAATAGCCGAGTCTATCTAGCCATGTCCGTCTGTCCGTCTGTCCGTTTCTATGCGAACTAGTCTCTCAGTTTTAAAGCTATCGCGATGAAACTTCCCGAAGGTCTTCTTCTATTGCAGGTAGTACATATGTCGACCGGATCGGACCACTAACTTAAGGCTCCCAAACAAATATAAGAAAATTCATTGTAACTTTGTAGGAAGTAGGCGTTTTGATTCTTGACTACTAAAAAAAAATTAAATAAATCGAAACGCTGAATCTGGAATCCCTGAACTACACCGAGTGAGTATTCTTTTATCTACTAGGGTATATAAGCTTCGGCTGGCCGAAGGTAGCTTCCTTTCTTGTTTTTAATTTAATTTGTTAAAAGCATATCAAACTTTTCCTATTAATATTGAAAACAAAAACAAAAATAAATTTTAGATAATCAATACACACTCAAAACCTTTAGCGCAATGAATATGCTACCATCTACAGCTATGACAAATATATTTACAAAGCTTTAATCGCCTGAAATGAATCATCTCTTATCTAACCTTATTAAAACCGTTTTATATTAATTATTAAAATTGCAAGATATTTTTTTTGGTGTGCATTCACCCCTTCACAATCGGTCAACCCCTAAAGTTGTTGCATTATTAAAAGGCTTCGATTGAAAAGTACTTTTCTTCTTCCCAAACCAATTCCGGACACAACTCCATTCTTCATCGGACCCTTTATTGCTTCGGCTTTATCTATTTCTGCGTTTGTCAACTGCATCTCTCGAAATCCATCGTTAGCTAATTAATTGGAAATATAAGAATTGTCTTGCTGCAATGGAAATACCAGTCAAGGTTTGAAAATCAATAAAACTGGCTTGAATACGAAACGTGTTTCAAGTGTTTTTTGTTTTGCGATTTGCATAAAAATATTGGCGCTTCTTCTTTACAGCATTTTTCGTCTGTCATTCGAGACAAAAGCCATCGAAAATCATTGAGTGGAACATGTTTTGCGAATGCGATTGAGAAGAGAGAAGAGATTACCATCAAATGGTACTTGTGAGGTCAGAAATAAACATTTCGATGGTGCAGCCAACCAGCATAGTTAGCCCATATAAACCGAGTATAAATTCTATAAAGTCTCCTAAATGCGGGCCAAGTTAACCTCTTAGTATGTGGTCTTTGCTTGTATCAGAAAATATATTCATGTGGGAAATCAACAACATCAAAGCGACCTACATACATCCGACAACCAATTGCGGAACAATTGCAGCTTCACGGTACTTGTTTTTATTTATTATTTATTTTATTTGCCCATGTTGGGGAGGATTGTATTGAAAATATGGCAAACAAAATACATTCCTTTAAATTATACAAGCGATACAGAAAACTAAGCTACTACTAAGCTACACAGAAAGTTAAAAAAGTAAAATTTGCGAAATGGAGACAATAAATTAGAGAATATAGGCCGATACAGAGGAGAAGTGGCATGAAATATTTAATATTTTATTTTTTCGATATTTGGCCTTTTGATTTTGAGTAAAGCGGCCAGCAAACATACCGATGCTTCTGGTCATGTTCTGTATTTAACGATGACAAAATGCAAAAGCTCGCTAAACAAGCTGCAAACCGTATATCGTGGGAAATAAAGCAATATAGCTCCAAATATGTTTAGACGAGGGATCTTATTGAAAATCAATATACTTCAGCTTTAAATGCTTTGTATTCCCAAAAAGACTGTGACAAAAAAACTTCTGTAAGTTATGGCATTTAATATAAAGTGTTTCAACAAATTGTGAAAAATGATAGGTAAGTTTCTTATTAATAATTTGATAAAAAAAATTAGTTTGTACAAAGGAAATATGGAAATACATTCGTTATCCTTGTTGCATAAGAAGTGTAAGTACAATATAATGTTTTTTAATTTTTTTATAAATTTTTTTTTTTTTTTTTTTTTATTTTTTTTTTTTTAATTAATTTTTTTTTTTTTGTGGGGGGGGGGGGGGGGGGGGAAAAATTTTAATTTTTTTTTTTTTTTTTTTTTGGGGGGGGGGGGGGGGGTGGGGTTTTTTTTTTTTTTTTTTTTTTTTTTTTTTTTTTTTAATTGTGGGGGGGGGGGTTTTTTTTTTTTTTTTTTTTTTTTGTTGGGGGGGAAAAAAAAGAGGGGGGGGGGGGAAAAAGGGGGGGTTGTTTGGGGGGGGGGGGGGGGGGAGAAAAAATTTTAAAATTTTTTTTTTTATGGGGGTTTTTTTTTTTTTTTTTAAAAATTTTTTTTTTAATTTTTTTTTTTTGGGGGGGGGGTCCCTTTTTTTTTTCCTCGTTAAGAGGTGTTTTTATTTCATTGCTACAATATATTAAAAATATCAATGTAAGTAAACTGTATCTTCATTAGTTTTAAAAAAGTCTAAAAGTCCTATCTCTCTTGTAAAGCTTTAAAAGAGATTTAAATGATCATACGGGCAGAAAAATGGTATTACCCAGAAACCCTTTAACTCTTCGGCCTAACAAATATTTCATAAATAAACAAAACGTCATTCTAAGGTGTGTCACAGAAATCTCTTTCTAACGAAAGCCAACAAATTGGTGTCAAAGAAAATTTCTCAAGTTATTTGAAAACCAAATAACCAACTGAGGGACACCAACAAGCGATAACCACCGCAAAATCTCAAGATCTTAAACTCAGATATATTTTTTTAATAGTCAATAAACTTTTTATACCCACTATTTGGTAATTTTTGGTCAAACAATTTATACTGCACAGCTTTTACGCCAGAATTCAGTTCAATGTCAATGAACGCGCGCAAATAGCCGCGAAATATCTTTGGTATTGCTTCACTCGAAATAAATGCTAGAGACACGAAAATAACTCAGCCACACAAGGCAAATAAAAGCGAATTTTTTGCACAAAACTGGAAATCTAAACAAAGACAAAGGAGAATTCGTCGCAATTGCCAGACGAAGAACGAAAAGCAAAAGTTGCAGAATTGCTGGGAAGATTTGGATTGTGAGAAGAGAGATGTTACTAAAAAGCTTGAAATGCCATTGGGTTAAGAGGGTTGGTGGAGAAAGGGGGAGTGAGAAGAAAGGCAGTTAGGAAGAGAGGGAAGGTAAGTAGGTGGTAATGAGCTGCACCCAGCCAAAAGCAACAACAACAATCAACTCCTATTGAACGTATTTTTCTGTTTGTCTCTCTCATTAGCTCTTTCGCCATTTCTTCTGCTGCCTCTCTTTCTACCTCATCGATTGATGCTAAAACAACAACAACAATGGGGCCTAACTATGAATAAAATATAGGTTAGGCCTTTTCCTTATTTGTAGAAAAGTCGTCGAGCGTTGAACTCTCGTCGTAGCGTGGGAGTTTTGTTTTTGAAGTAACGAAACTATTTTGTTTTGATTTTATCTCTGTAAATTATAATGAAATTATATGCGCCGGTAACCGCGTGGAGATAAAAAGAAAAAAACGCGGAAAACGGAAAAAGAGAAAAGTAAAAAATGAGAAAAACAAAACAAGCGACCAAAGCGGATGGGCAAAAGATAAAAACAACAACTGCGACTCTGTACTTGGAGTAAAAGCCGGCATGCGTGCGAGCGAGCGAGAGAGACTCACGGCGGGAGAGCGAGAGAGAGCTAGGAATATTTCTGTGTGCCCTGGTGGTTGTAAAAAAAAACTGTAAAAGTGAAGCGCCGAAGCCAAAAGAACGATTTGCGGGGGGCGGAGTGGGGCGGTGGTTTCCACTAAAAAGCGAGGAAAATCGGCATGTATTGGCGAAACTTTTTCGCAGAAAATGTATTCGGGAAAACACAACACCGCACGCACACACACACACAATCGCACTGCTTTTAGCCTGGTTTATTTGCCTCGCAAATTCGCTTTTCTTTCGCGTCCCCCAGACAAAAAAATAAAGGAAAGGAAAACTCACCTATCGGGATGCCTTTGTTTTTTTCAGCTGCTACTATGCTGCTGCCACCAAACCTAGTCACTCAATAGTCCAATTGTTATTCAACACGCCTTTTTCGCCACTTAATGCTGGCTGGTAAAATATTATTTAAAATATGTATAGCACAAACACACGAGAGTTAAAATGCACAAAAAAGTTAGAGAGGCATAGTAAAATGGCGTTTCATTGTGTTATCGATGGGGCACAATCGATAGATATCGGCTGGAAACGAGGATTTCACACTGCTATAATCAATGAAATACTAAAGTTAAATACCAAAAATAAAAAGAAATTACTTTTTGTTGAAACTTAAATTGTTGATTATTTGAATTCACTCTTCTAAACTTACTGCACTGCAATTATATTTCTTAAAAATTTATAAAATCTACTACTCATTGAAAACCCAAATCGGTACATATTTTAAATCCATAATTTAAAACAAATTTCATTTAATATTTAGTAAATAAAAATTATATGTGTAATGTTCATATTTTTAACATTTTCTGACCGTTTGATAAAATACATTTCTTTTCCTAGTAACCAAAAATATTATTTTATATTGCAGTGTGAATACTCAAAAAAAGAAATGCAAACGTTGCGTCCGATAACAGGGCTGCTACCATGACCTATAGTTTTTATCGATTTGGTTTTTTACAGTAAGTTGTAAATGGTCACACTTAGCGTGGAATAAAAACAAATGTTTTTGTTTTCAATTTGAAATTGCCTTAACAAATATGTTGACGGAGGACGCAGAGGCTGCCTTTAAACGCCACGAGGGCATTGTAACCCAGGTGAAACAGGCCTACGAAGAAACTATTGAAAAAATCTTTGGAGACTTAAGGTAAGCAAAGGACTAAGGAAACATAGATCCCATATAAAGGTATTGTTTATGTTTAGCCCCTCTGATTTGGAAGCATGTGCAGCCATTTATGAGGAGCACGAGGATTCAGCTTTGGATACCGAAGATATCATAAATCGCACTCGATGTCTTATGACGAAGGCAGTTCTCAAACTGAATGGATGTTTCTTTGACAGCAATGATGTTGGAAATAAGCTAACCAGTTTGGAGATGCTCAAGGAACATTTTGCTCAATATGAGGGCAAAGATTGGCACTGGTCAGTTTATTGCTAGCGAAATAAGATAAACATTTTAAACAGTATTTTGTATCCACAGGAATTTTAACACTACCGCCCCCGAAGAGCTCACTCGTCCGTTGCGCATGCGCTATATGGATTTCAGCCTTAATTTTATGGAGCAACAACTGGAGTCTCAGGAAAAAGAGCTCGAGGTGTGCCTACTTAAATAATCCATCTCTTAAGTAGTTATAATATTTAGGGTTTTTTAACAGCATGCTAAAAATATTGACTGGGTATATTGTATTAGACTTACAAATAAGTATATCAAACTGCTAGAAGCAAAGATATAACCAAGTAAATAATTATGTAATTATCAGTAAATTGCACGAATATTGACTAATAAATGTAAACATTTTCTTTTTAGATTGCTATGGCCAAAAGCAAGGCTAATCGTGAGCGTATACACAAAGTACAGGACGAACGACTGAAACTGAGTGCCCAACTAGAGCAGCAATTATCTCAGTATCAGGAAATCAAACCGGAAATAATCAAGCTGGAACAGACAATAAATGATTCGTATTTGACAACGGAGAATTCCATAAATAAATAAAATGATATGCTGTATTTTGTGTTAAATTTAAGGGGGTGTTTGAAATGGAGATTTAAATGGTAAAAGTTCGTGACTTTTAGTGAAACAAATCCTACCTTAGGGCTAGTACTCAATGGAAAAAGCGTTGAAAAATGTTGTTTCAAATGAAGTTTTTTATTTTGGACGACTTTTTGTTGGGTTGAGTACTAGCCCTTAACTACAAAATTTTCTTTGTAAATAAATATCTATGTATGTATGTATTTACAATTTAAACAAAATTATGGTTTTCTTTAATGGAATGGAGTGGCTAAAATTACACACAGAATTTTAGGATATGATATATGTATGAATGTATTTTGTGTATATGTACGTAAATTGAGAACTTCAATTAAAAGTATTGACTTTGAGTCAATCAAACACAATTCTGCAGTAATTCCCTTTAATAAATTGGTTTTTATATTCCAAATTGTTTCTTTAAATAAAAAGATGGTTTCTTAGATGTATATACATTGTACATATGGGCCGTTCTTTTACAAACCGAACAGATTTGGCAAAAAAAAAAATTTCACATTTTTGATTTGCCTGAAACTTTTTTTACACGTACTATTCGGAAAATAAGTAAACACGTGTATCAGGATTTGACCGAAAAAATTATTTTCCTAGTTAGAATTTTTTAAGTGTGCCAAAAATTGTCAAATTTGAAAAGTACCCTCTCATTGAAAATCTGATCTCCGGTTATATGAATCCAATTGACTTCATGTCTTTTGCATTAATTCCTCTAAAACCTCTCCTTTCAAAATAAAATTTCTTAAAAATTTTTTTTTTTAATTTCTTAAAAATAAAAACAAATTAAGATTTAAAAAATTTTTTAACTATTGCCCCCACAAAAAAAAAATTTTTTTTTTTAATACTTGCGCCATATTGTTAGTTACAATCGGTTTTTGTAAAAGTTGGAGCCACTTTTAGTTTTTAAAATATCGAATTTGTTTTAGCAAGGCCTCAGCTTTTCTATGAAAAAACGTCGCAGCAAGTAGATCTACTCTCTCACTCTTATCGGATCCTAATGGAATTTATGTTTTCTTATTGCTTACTAGTCCTTTAACAATTGTTAATGATTAAAAGTTAAGTTTTAAGTTTTTTGACAATTTCTGAATGACAAAAGTAAAAAGTCATTTTTAATCAATTAAAAACTTACAACTATTTATTTAACCGTCTATTTAATAAACAATAATTTTAAATTTATTTTATTTATTATTTTTTTATATTATGTAATTTATTAAACATTTTTAAATATTTATTTTTAAATTTAAAAAAAAATTAATTAAATTTTATAATTTTTATTTTTATTAAATAAATTTTTTAAAAACTTAAAAAAATATTTAAAAATGTTTAATAAATTACATAATATAAAAAATAATAAATAAAATAAATTTAAAATTATTGTTTATTAAATAGACGGTTAAATAAATAGTTGTAAGTTTTTAATTGATTAAAAAAGACTTTTACTTTGTCATTCAGAAATTGTCAAAAACAAAACTAACTTAATCATTAACAATGTTAAAGGACGAATAAACAATGAGAAAACATAAATTCCATTAGATCCGATAAGAGGAGAGATCTACTGCTGCGACGTTTTTCATAGAAAAAGCGAGGCCTCTAAAACAAATTCGATATTTTAAAAACTAAAAGTGGCTCCAACTTTTACAAAAACCGATTGTAACTAACAATATGGCCAGTATTAAAAAAAAAAAAATTTTTTTGGGGGCAATAGTTAAAAATTTTTTTAAATCTTAATTTGTTTTTATTATTAAGAAATTTAAAAAAAATTTTTTAAGAAATTTTATTTTGAAAGGAGAGGTTTTAGGGCCGCTTTCTCGAGTCCCTGTCAAAGTCCCTGATAGCTATCTGTTCGAAAAACTTAAAGACCAGATAAACTGTTCGTAAAAGCAAATCCGCTTTCTCGACTGCTTTAATTTTTCTGAACGAGAAACAATTACAGAGTGCTGTTAACGCACTGTAAAGTGCAAAAAATGGCATGCTTCGATTATTTCATCAGCTGTTTGGGTATAATTCAAAGGAAAAGTCAACTGTGATTTCGTTTCTTCTTCATAGTTGGCTTTGGGAAATCAGCTGTCATTCCATCGAGCCGAAAACGCTTAACAGGGACTCCGAGTCCCTGTCAAAGTTAGCTCTCACATTTATGCTCGAGAAAACCAAAATGCCTTAGCAGGGACATTATCTGTTCGAGAAATGTTAGCCGGCACTCGAGAAACCGGCCCTTAGAGGAATTAATGCAAAAGACATGAAGTCAATTGGATTCATATAACCGGAGATACAGATTTACAATGAGAGGGTACTTTTTCAAATTTGACAATTTTTGGCACACTTAAAAAAATTCTAACTAGAAAATAATTTTTTCGGTCAAATCCTGATACACGTGTTTACTTATTTTCCGAATAGTACGTGTAAAAAAAGTTTCAGGCAAATCAAAAATGTGAGCCAATAAAAGGTGTTCGGTTTGTAAAAGAACCGCCCATATGTACATATGTACGTAAGTGCATTGCGCAAATGTACGCTCACATATACATACATACATACGTAGCAAATAGCACATTTTCAAAGTGAGGTTAAGCTTTAAGTGATTTCTTAGAATTCGGGGTTCGGCGAATGAACAAGGAATCCCTTCAAAAATAAGTGTATAATTAAAATTGTTCCTGTTAATTTTCATATTTTCGCATTTCCTTATCAATGCCAATCGATATTTTTGACACTAGAAGACAGTTTATAGAAATATTCTATTTATTTAAACGATTTTAGAGGTTATGTTTTTTGATTGGTTTCTGACAGATGAGTCTATCACACACATGTACAGCTGGGGCATAAGTGTAAGTGTCAAAGGTCGATTTGCAACACTGTCCCAAGTTGACGTCTTTCCTGAGATTGCCCGATTCTTTCTTTTCGGTTTTGACCGTCGAACGAGAAGGAGCTTGTTGCTCTTGTAAGTAACTCAAGGAGTCCAGGAATTTTTGGTAAATTTTCCTAAGTACCTAGAGCCGATAATGTGTGGTTGCTTGAGAGAAGTACAAGTTACTGGTGCTGTGTGTTTTGAGAAGAATATCTACGAGGAATACAAAAGGAGCTCGGCAATTTCAGGCTTTTCCGAAATCTTAGCTTTAATACTTAGTTTAATGTCGTATTAAAGCTAGATTTCGGGAAATCTTGATTCTGCAGTTAAATTGCAAAGTGAAAATGGTTTGTTTTGTTTTATCAATATTTAGGCCGGTTTAGCAGGATTTTGTAGATTTTACAATATCTGCGTAACCGACCTACAATATTTATAAAAAATTATCATCTGGTGTGCTAGTGTAAATTTTCGCGAAAAAATTGTGTAGCTCGAAATTCTACGTCCTAACCTCAAAGCGTAAAATTACCTTTAAAACGAAAAAAACACCACCTTCGTTTATTACTCTTGATAATTCTGTAAAAGAAATTAAAACATCTTTTATTGATTTATACAGAGAAATAAGTTTAAGTGAATTCGCCAAAAATGGTTAAAGCTAAAAAAGTGCGTGTTTAAGTTCCTATCGGAATCAGTACTTTTATTTGCTTTTCTGGATTATTTAACAAAGGTATTTTGGAAGCCTAAGTTAAGTTTTCCAGAAAAGTAATATAAAGTTAATTCATCAAAAATAATTATTTGTGCGAAAAATGTGTTTAATTTGTTTTCCCCTTTAAAAAGAGTATGTAGCTGAGTAGAGCAGCAGTTACATTTTTAATATTTCAAGAATTTGAAACTGGATTGCTTCTCTACCCTGTTACGTATTTCCATTCAATTAAAAAAAATACAAAATATTTAAACTCCAACTATTGTGAATTCGTGGAAAAAGTCTCGTATAAACGCCATTTTAAATATTCTCTTTCTCCCTTTAATATGTACATATGTAGTTGAGTAGGGTTGCATTCAGACTTTCAATGTTTGTAGAATTTGAAATTCGATTGCTTCCTTATCCTATTACCTATTGCCATCCCGCTCTAGACTTCTGCATTTCGTATTGCCCAATTTGTTGTTTTTTTTCGACCTCTCTTAAGTTCTCGGGATCTTCGTCCGGCATTCCGATTTAAAAAGTTGTCGCGAGTGGTTGTGAAAAAGGGGAATATTTTTGGCTAACAATTTCTGGCTGTGGATTGGGCAAATACTGTGATTAACTAAAAGTATTGCACATTCCCCAGCCTGGAAATGTGGCCAACTGCCAGCTTCGGTGACAGTGTAAAAATTGTGTGTAAACATATTTCTGGTGTTCCGGTCCGTCTCAGGCGCAATTCTGAATATTCACCTAGTATTGCACTTGAGACGGCCGGAATACTTTAAATACGAAACATCCAAAGAAAATAATAGTGAAACTTTGCTGTAATTTACATGTCGCGGGCGGTGACAATGCGAGATATATTTTTACGTATTGCACTGGCCCCGGCCTGTAAACTTCGGCTATAAACATCAAAAAGCAGTTAAAATTAATTCCAAGATAGTTTTTCGGACGGTGTCTGCGTCAATATTTCAGTTTTAAAACATATTGCACATTCACCGGCCTGAAAATATCAAGGGTGTTCCTCAAAAAGTTCCTGCAAATACACACACACACATTTGCAGGCTGGGTTGTGTGTTAATATATTGATTTTAAGCTATATTGCACACTTCCCGGCCTATAAATGCCAAGTGTTTCGACCAAAATATCTGTGAAATCGTGGAATTACATGTATTACTTAATTTTTGTGTTCCTGGAAATATGCATTCCGTTATGTGCGAGCGAGACGACAGCTGAAACAGTTTTTCCACATTCCTCTTTCTGCTTCGTGTTCGGAGTTGCCAGATCGGTGATTTAAGTGCAATGAGGAATGGTAATTTTTGTGCAAGTGGTAAATGTTTAATAATTGCTATTTGTGTGCAATTTATTATAGCGGGCTGTAGTTTAATAATATTCCCCTCTAAATGATGCAACTACTATGTAAGTAATAACAGAGCAGTCTAGGTGAAACAAGCAAATTTAATTAGTG